GGCTTTTATTTTAAGATATGATATTTGTGTGATACTTCTCGTTTATTAAATTGTTTTAATGTTGATACATGAAATTTATGTCAAGTTTCCTGTTTTGAACGAAAACGTGATTTTTATGTCGATGTTGGTGTGTGGAACAAATGTTGCGACTATATATTTATGGGGAAAAAAGAAGGTGGAAACGGTGAATAATGGGCAGCAGAAGGAATAAGAGCAGAAGAAGAAGAAGAAGAAGAAGAAGAAGAAGAAGAAGAAGAAGAAGAAGAAGAAGAAGAAGAAGAAGAAGAAGAAGAAGAAGAAGAAGAACAAGAACAAGAACAAGAAGAACAAGAAGAAGAACAAGAAGAAGAACAAGAAGAAGAACAAGAAGAAGAAGAACAAGAAGAAGAACAAGAAAAAAAAAGAAGAAAAAGAAGAAGAGCAAGAAGAACAAGAAGAACAAGAAGAACAAGAAGAACAAGAAGAACAAGAAGAACAAGAAGAACAAGAAGAACAAGAAGAACAAGAAGAACAAGAAGAAGAAGAAGAAGAAGAAGAAGAAGAAGAAGAAGAAGAAGAAGAAGAAGAAGAAGAAGAAGAAGAAGAAGAAGAAGAAGAACAAGAAAGAACAAGAAGAAGAAGAAGAACAAGAAGAAGAAGAACAGAAGAAGAAGAAGAAGAAGAAGAGAAGAAGAAGAAGAAGAAGAAGAAGAAGAAGAAGAAGAAGAAGAAGAAGAAGAAGAAGAAGAAGAAGAAGAAGAAGAAGAAGAAGAAGAAGAAGAACAAGATGAACAAGAAGAAGAAGAAGAACAAGAAGAAGAAGAAGAAGAAGAAGAAGAAGAAGAAGAAGAAAGAAGAAGAAGAAGAAGAAGAAGAAGAAGAAAGAAGAAAGAAGAAGAAGAAGAGAATAAGATAAGAAGAAGACGAAGAAGAAGAAGAAGAAGAAGAAGAAGAAGATAGAAGAAGCAAGAATAAAATAACCGAAGAAGAAGAAGAAGAAGAAGAAGAAGAAGAAGAAGAAGAAGAAGAAGAAGAAGAAGAAGAAGAGAAGAAGAAAAAGAAGAAGAAAAAGAAGAAGAAGAAGAAGAAAGAGAAGGAGGAGGAAGAGGAATAACAGGAGGATGCTGAGGAGGAGAAAGGGGATAAAGAGGCGGAAAGGTATAAGAGGAGATTGTGAAGAAAACCGGAAAGAAGAAATATTTACCATGTTAACTAGGGCTGTACCGAATAGTGATTTTGACTTTCAGCCGAATACGAATAGCAGGACCAACTATTCGACCGAATACGAATACGAATACGAATAGTTCATTATCATCATCAGGTGCCTTGCCGACTGGCGTGGGCGTTTATGCCTTGCCACAATCTGCGATCTCCTGCAGCATGTATTAGTTCGTGTGCTGACACACCTCCATGCCATGCAACAAGACTGTCAAGAATCTTCTCTCGTTGTCTTCCTCTATCCCTCCTTCCCCAGATCTTTCCATTGGTCACCACATGTTCCACTTTCCCTCTTCTCATAACATGGCCAAAAACTGATTACTGTCTACTTCTAATGTCTGTGATAAGTTGTCTTCGGGCTCCCGGCTCTTTCCAAATCTCTTAGTTACTTTTTTTTTAATTTTTTAATTTTTTTTATTTTAAGCATTGTTCTGTAAAACCACATGTCTGAAGCCTCCAGAAATTGTTTGGCCTGCCTACCGATTGTCCGGAACTCACGGCCATTTGTTAAAACTGGTTGTATGTAGCAAGCAAGAATTTTTTTTCTAACCTTCAATGACAAGGATTTATTGCATAAGATGTTCTTAATTTTATAAAATGCAGTTTTTGTCTGTCCAATTATGTTTCTTTTTTTTTCAGTTATGCATCTTCCATCTGATGTTATCCATTTGCACAGATACTTACATTTCTGTACTTGTCCCAAAATAACACCATTGACTTTTATTACACATTTAGGAATAATTATTTTCTTTGATACCACCATTACTTCTGTCTTCCCACTATTCAAACTGAGGCCCATTCTTCCACTTTTGAATAGTGTATAAAATGGATTTTAAAAAAATATTCAAAATTTCAATTGTACGCTGAAATTTTACTTTACAAAATGTAGTACAGAATAGTAAACATTTGAAATCATTTTATGTATTGCATCCTTCAGTCAGTCAGTCTGTGGTAACTAATACCTAGGAATGAAAGTAGTCTTGGTTTTATAACGAGTAACTAAACTTGTAAACTGTCACTGACAGCTTTGTTAATGCATAAAACTTAGGCAACAGCAACTTTCGCAGTGTATGCAGAAACGGGTGTAAGTATCACTGTTCGTATTCGGCCCGACCGCAAGTATTCAGCCGAATACCGAATAGTTATTAGGTCCACTATTCGGCCCTAAAGCCAGTACGAAGCGAATACTCGGTACAGCCCTAATGTTAACACATTTTGAGGCCTACTGACATAGTCGCAAGATTGCGTGTGTGTGCGTGCGAGCGTGTGTGTGTGAGAGAGAGATAGAGAAATTGAATGAGACAGAGAGAGCTGGTATACTCAGTGTGAGACATGTACTGCTATTCTGTTCCTCTCTGTACATATGTGCACTTGCTAATATATTTCAATAAATCCGTTTTATCTCAGTAAAAGCATATTACACACATTTTTTCACCATGACAAGGCTGGCATGCCCGCCTTAGCACGATTTCGTTCCAGCAATGAGTGTTTTGTTTTCGTTTAAGGAATACTGACAAAAGTGACCAAAAGAAAGTACTACGGTTCTTGGACACCCCTTTTTGAAAGAGGAAGTTTTATTCAAGACATAGGATGCTGCATCTTTACGCTAGCTTGAAAAGGGAAGGCTTCGTTTGTTCCTTGGGTTTTCATTACTATTCTTCGCGGCAGTGAATCTTAAGTCAACATGTTCGCAAAGAGGAGAAGCGGGTAAACAGTTTGCACTTGCCATGTTTAGGAAGCATATTGCTCAATCCCCGAATACTGAGATGGCAGGGTTACACATGAAGACAGGAGCAAGGTAGAGTCCTTAAGGACATCCTTTATGGTGAATTACAGATAGCTAGAAGATGCCGAGGTCGGCCTCTGCTGCGGTATAAAGTGCAAGCGGGAAATAAGGGACAGATACATGTACTGCCGGGGATTCATGGGACCAAAATGTCATGGACCGGGCTGCGTAGAGAGGAATGAGAATAAAGGAAAGTATGATGACAGAAAGGTTGAGATCTAAGTGTCTGGGAAGAAACACACTGAATACATGTCCCCGTGTGGGTTCCGGAGCCCTATTATAGGGAAAACAAGAATTGACCCACTGCCTACCCAAAAGCACTTCGTGAGACTCGAGTAATTGGGAGCTTCCTTCGAAGTCGGAATGCGTCTGTCTGAGAGGCAAGGAACCAACAGTCTGCATACAGATGAATCAGATCTGTAAAACGGATGCACACGCAGTACTCGGGTTCTGGAACAGGACTGCAGTCCGGAAGTGGATGAACGACCAAAACCTTTCCTCCGAGCTGGTGAACGCGAAGAAGAAGAATACATGTTATGGTAACAACGATCTTTAAATCCCATTCTCTAACCGGGGAAGACTTTTCGTAACGTGGGACGGGAAGTCTTGTTAGTCATACTTGTCATCTCCATAGGCTGTGATTCTCAAGTTTCCGTTAAGTAGAATATTACAGGATCTTCTTGAAAAACCGAAAGGTACCCCCCCCCCCCCCCTAGCTTTTTGAGTGCCCTCCACACCCAAACCAGCAATTTATAAAATTGTAAACTTGAATATTTTCTCTATGTCGGCACCCTTGATCGTCGTGACACATAATGGTGATGATGACACTTTTGAGAAATACGATTTTTGGTAATGCCCGTAGGGGCATCGAAAGACAGAGAGCAATAAATTAATCGTTTGGCACTCAAAGAAACAGAGACGAATATGAGAGATAAGAGGACAGCGCAAAGTCGTAGACACTATTAAATTGAAAGCTATAATTTGAACAAGAGCAGTGTTTTCCAAACATTTCTTTGTATCGGCACCTTTTTTCAAAAAACAATTTTCCACGGTGCCCTAACTTAAGTAAAAGTATGACTATTCGTGTCTATTCGGGCATAAGAGATGGCGGCCAAAAAACAGAGCCCCAGACGGCTAGGACTCAAGAGCAAAGCTGCAGGAGATGAAGAAGCTGCTGCTCGTGAGTCCCAGCCATCTAGTTTAGCCCCAATCCCTATGAGCGGCGTGTGACATACTCTCAGCGGTGGCTGTAGTCGCCCGAAAACCGAAAATTAAGTCGCCGGAAGTGCGCAATTGACACGTGACTAAGGCTCTGTTAGGGTGTTTAGATGCCGCCATCTTTTGTGCCCGTTTTTTGGAGGATAGCCGATTGCAACGCCCTGTTGACACATTGGTTATATAGTGCTAGACCTGTGTTTTATAGATCAACTGGCACTTGTTAGGTGATGACTTATCGGTGGGGGAGGGGGGGGGGGTTAACCTCATACTCAATTCATACTCAGCTCCAAAAAAAAAATCTGCTTGATACGGATTAAAACGCGCGATATTCAGTACCACAGCCCAACGTCTAGCTGCTACATCGCAGTGGAGGTGCCCAAAAAATTAAATTTTTTGTTATGGGTTTCTGGGATTTGCTCCTATTTCATTCTCATTCTTGGGGTGTTAACTTCTAGAGACAGCAATCATAGAGGGAAACCATCTCCAGCATCACCTCCTAATACTTTACAACATTCCAGAAGTCGAGCAAACCCTAGATCTCCAACCTAATCATTTGTTAAACTGCCGGCCTATTGACAAAAGAGAAAAGATTTTATACTGTTAAACAATGTATCATATTCCAGACCATGTTTTATTCCCATCTGCTTCCGGTGTATTTCAACTTTCACTTCTAGTTGTCCCTGGTCTGCAGTGCACAAGCAGAGATTGGATCCAGTTATATAACTACACTTTTGCTGTTTGTTTTTTTTCAAATGCCTGTAGAAGCATATTCATGAGGATACCTAGTCTATTTAATAAAATGTACACGAAAAGAATACCGACGTTAAGTTGTGTATCTAGAGTCTTTGAACTCTTTCGAAGATTGCCAGCGAAATCCGAATTTAATGCAAGCAATTCTCCTTTTAAAAGACAGCATTCTTTGACTTTGTGTAACAACAGACATCTCGTTGTCGGCGGTAAAGTCACCTTTTACAGCAGATGCTTTCGTACATACAGTCGTGATTTTCGGAAGCCTGATTTAAGATTAGGAACTGGATGTTTTTCGCTTGTGACTGCTAATTATTATATTAATGCAAGGAGTTATGTTACTGTGCCCCAGTCTGCAGTTGGTGCTCCTGTTGTAGGCCACCCCAGTCTAAAACCAAGAGGTGGCTGGTCATCTAGATGCTGTTGTTACTCTACAACTGTAACTGCGGATGGGAGGGATAAATCAGAGGAGTTGCGTTTGGAGATGTTGGCGAAGAAGATAATAGAAGCAGCCAGGAAGAGAGATGTTATGGCAGGCAGTGTGCCACTCAAGAAGGTTGTGGCTCTGGTGAGTATGAGTCTTCAGGTGATGATAATGTTTTTATAGTTAGGAAACCATCTGTAATAGTGGTAGTAGTAAATATATTGGACTGCTAGTAAAAGTTGATGGCAGAAGTGAAGCAGAAATCAAAAATAGAACTGGAATAGCTAAAACTATCTTCAGTAAGATAGATGCAACAATTATTGACAGCTAGAGAGATTTTTTTTTCTTTGAATATCCAGAAACCATGAGGTGTCAACCCTTTGGCTCAGTACTATGGATATCGCAACCCTTCGGCCTTGATTCCATGATAGATACAGTAAACCTGGGAGAAATGTGGCTTTTCTGCCACCTCCAGGCATGAACCCGAACCACATCCGGCCGCTGCGAAGTCAGGTTTAACAGACTACGCTGGGCAGCTACAAAGATAAACAACACATTAAAATGAGAATCATCAAATGTTATGTATACTTAATTCTGGGAGCTGCCATGGTGTAGCGGCTAGACACTTGCCTGCGGATTAGAAGGTCTTGGGTTTCTATTCTGACTGAGCCGGACATTTTTTGAAAATGACCTTGACTTTCAGATCAACCCAGCCTGGAGTGGGTACCAGGTGCAGTCCTGGGAAGTAAAGGTGACCAGCTTGATGCTGACCACATCAACTACCAAGTGCTGATTGGTCTATAAAATATAGGTCTAGCCCTATATACCTAGTACACAAAGGATACTTTACCTTTTTCTTACTTATACTCATCTCTGCTGTATGATGCAGTAACTTGGACAAGACAGCTTGCAACCAGAAAATTGAATTGTGTTTCTGAAAATTTTGATATACAGAGAAAAAGGTCATATTTCGTGGATAAAATCAATCTGATACAGAGATTTTTGAAAAAACTGCAAGTGAAAAGAGAATTACTAACATAAAAAAAAAAAAAAATAGAAACACTTGAAATATTTTGGCCACATTAAAAGACATATTATGCTTTTAAAAACCATTCTGGAGGGAAAGGTCAAAAGCAAGAGGTAAACAATGATACAGGTGGGAGGACATGAGATAGCGTGAACTAGAGATCCATTGCAGCCAGTCTTCATTGCAGAGACGGCACCTGATTGATTGAGTAGTAAATAATAGTTGAAGTCGAGAGGATCATCTTTATTGTTTTTATTTTAACCCATTTGGCTCATGTCTCTCCACATAATGGCTCGCTGCCTGACAAGAGCCTCACACAAAGCATGAATTCCATAGCTCAGGCAATGATCCTCAGGGATCTCCATAAAAATTGCAGTTGTGAACTGAATGATACAGCTGTGAAATATACTCAGGACCTTTAGACCATAACCTAAATGGCTTGACCACTTTGCTAAGCCCCCCACCCCCAAGCAGTAGTAGTAGTAAATATTAGTAGTTGTAGTAAGTAGTAGTGGTAGTCTTAGTATTAGCAGTGATTGTAATGGTGGTAGTAGAAGTAATAGAAGTAGTAATAATTAGCTTTAGTAGTTTTTATAAAAATAACTACTTCTTCAACTGTCAGGATATATCATGCCCATAGTATTTTCACTGTATGCTTTTGCTATCTTATGAATAGTGTAAAAATTTCTTTGTCATGTATTTAGTAAGCATATTATTATCTGAACCATTATCCTGGTCACACCTATGTTATAATTTGACAGATAATATATAATGATTATTTTTATAAGATTTATTACTATATGTGTCAGAATAGTAGAAATATTGGTGAGTGTATTTTTTCTTAGCTAGTTAGTTCCTCTGCTTGTGTGATAAACATTATTGTATTGGCACTCATAGATGGCTCTTTGAGAGCGAGTGAACAGTGCAGAGGCACAGATAGATCATGACGGTCTGAGGCGAATGGTGCTGTGAGGAGTTTTCAGGGAATCTGGCAGGTGCTGAACACCCAGAGGAAGCGTGAGACAGATATACAATCAGACAGTTACTGGTGCCATCGGAATTAGAACTGTTTGTTTGCTGCTAAAGATGGGGACAGAGTGCCTATGGGAGTGTCCCAAATCATGTGAATTCAATTCCTAATTCAACATTCAAAATTTAATAGTTTCACATGAGATTTCTAAGAGGAATTGGAGCAATAAGTGGTTAGACAAGATCAGAAACGCTGAGATTTTGAAAAGCACAGGTATCCTAACAGTTTTCTCAGTGCTCAGTCGTAGAAACCTGAGGTACTTGGGTCCCACCTGGAGAGTGGAAGATGGTAGAGTCCCTAAGGTTATCCTTTATGGTGAACTACAGATAAGTGAAGGAATTACTGAACTACTGAGACTCAGCCCTAGACCAAGAGATTTGCTCACAGCTTGGCTGAGCAACATCTCTGTGGGCAGTATTTCATGGTACAGTTCTGTCTTCATACATCTGTTGTTAATTCTCGATATTGTTGTCGCTGAATTAAGGTAGACTATGATAATCTACCACTGTCAGTCAACCGGTTAGGCTCAAATGGCTGTCAGATACATGTTCTATGGCATAGCAGCAAAGTCTTATAAATGTCTGACCGTCAAAAGTCCTACAGTTTGACAGAAAGGTTCAAATATCTGTATCCTTTGGCCACACTCACCAGAGTGTGGGAACCAAATAGGAGAAGCCATGCCTGATACATGCTTGTTTTATACAGTCACGCTAAGTGTCCAGATAAAATAACGTTAAAGGTGTCTAAATTTTTGTGTAGTTGTTGAAGTTTGAGATATGGAGGGTGCTACCTGCTGATCTCTGGGGAGAGCAGTCTATGATGAGCGGGAGGTGTAGCCCACGATGAGCGGGAAGTGTAGCCCATGATGAGTGGGAAGTGTAGCCCATGATGAGTGGGAAGTGCAGCCCATGATGAGTGGGAAGTGTAGCCCATGATGAGTGGGAAGTGTAGCCCATGATGAGTGGGAAGTGTAGCCCATGATGAGTGGGAAGTGTAGCCCATGATGAGTGGGAAGTCTAGCCCACGATGAGCGGGAAGTGTAGCCCATGATGAGTGGGAAGTGTAGCCCATGATGAGTGGGAAGTGTAGCCCATGATGAGCGGGAAGTGTAGCCCATGATGAGTGGGAAGTGTAGCCTATGATGAGCGGGAAGTGTAGCCCATGATGAGTGGGAAGTGTAGCCCATGATGAGTGGGAAGTCTAGCCCACGATGAGTGGGAAGTGCAGCCCACGATGAGTGGGAAGTGCAGCCCATGATGAGTGGGAAGTGTAGCCCATGATGAGTGGGAAGTGTAGCCCATGATGAGTGGGAAGTGTAGCCCATGATGAGTGGGAAGTGTAGCCCATGATGAGTGGGAAGTGCAGCCCATGATGAGCGGGAAGTGTAGCCCATGATGAGTGGGAAGTGCAGCCCATGATGAGTGGGAAGTGTAGCCCATGATGAGCGGGAAGTGCAGCCCATGATGAGTGGGAAGTGTAGCCCATGATGAGCGGGAAGTGTAGCCCACGATGAGTGGGAAGTGCAGCCCATGATGAGCGGGAAGTGTAGCCCATGATGAGTGAGAAGTGCAGCCCATGATGAGTGGGAAGTGCAGCCCACAAAGAGTGGGAAGTGCAGCCCATGATGAGTGGGAAGTGCAGCCCATGATGAGTGGAAAGGTCAACATACGAATGTGAGGTAAAGAGGTCATATGCAGGACGTGACGATTCCTTGGGTGAGAATAGGACCAGAGCAACATGTGTAAGTTCTGCATTTATGAAAGCCTCCTTGGATGGCAGAGATTCCCCATGATCTGTCCTTGCCTTTCCTTGAGGGCCTACCAGTCTAAATGCAGTTGCCCTGGACTGGTTCTCTAGGAGCAGCACCTGTAGATAAGTGGACAAAGAGAAACCACACAAATAAATGACCCATGAAACTATTTGGGAAGTTAACCTGTTCAACAGATGCTCAATTAAGTCAGATTTGTCAGCTAAAAGGCACAGATATCGAAGCTTTGCTGTAAACAGGCACAACACAGCTATGTCACTTAGATAAACCAAAAACAAAACTAAAAAGATTGAAATAGAGTAACTTAATTCGTTCCTGACTGAGGTTCTCATCTCAAAAAGTTTGAATCTCGAAACCCAGTTCCCATGATATCTTATGGGAAATCAGTTAGTCCATTCCACATAAAGTTGAGTTTTTGTCTGTTAACTTCAGATCGTCTTCAGATCACCACTGGCATTGGCACAAAAAAGCAAACTGTTTCATTGGCTTTTGTCCTGGCAATGCTATTTCATCCTCCATGATGAATGTTCTCTTTGGCATTTTCTTTCAGAAAAGCCCAGTTCCATCGCAGTTTTTAAACTTGTTATGTGATCCTCTGACCTCTTTCCGTGTCCGAAATTCCTTCATGAACTTGTCAGCACTAGCACCTCCTCCATGTCTATTGACCCTATGGATACCAGTTCTGTTCTAGAATTTTTCATACCTTCATTTGCTAGCTTTAAACTCCACAGATATCTACTGGTAGTAGATGTCAAAAGATATAAAACTGAATGGAAAGTATATTAGCAAGCTTCACAATATAGCAAACACAAACAAAATGTGAACGTTGCTGCTCTGGAGCCTTCATCAGCACCTTCATAAATAAAACACCTACTGGTAGTAGATGGTAAAGTCTTTGATAGAACATTGAAATAGCTTGTGCTTTTAAACAGATCATATTTTAAGTTACATTAACTGCCTTCAGTCAAATGTCATTAATCCAGATGAGTAGTGAAGTTTCCATATTTGTGATAACTTTATTTCTTTAAAGTGACGCAAATGATGCTCTTTGGGCCAGATCCAGTTTCATTTACAAATCTGCTCTCTTGAGAATTGTAGCTATGAAGCACTTGGTCAAGTTATTTTGCTTGCACATATCAGTTTACTCGGCTCCTTTCTCTCATATTTTTTCCCAAATCTCTTTCTTAATTTCTTCTGTTATATTCCTCTTCTCTTCTTCCTTAGTTTTCTTTGGCTCCATGTTGGAAATTATATGTGACATCTAGATAATAATTTGAATTGTTTGTCCGCAGTGTCTTCGGCAAGTATATAAAGGAATTGCATTATTGATTACAAAAATACTGAAGCAGGTACATTTAAAAAAAAAAAAATGAATGTGCAACATAAGTTGTGCACACCACTGATTGTGGCATGCAGATAAATACAGTATAATAACAACAAACACGTGTGCATGTGCAGTGCATCACAGCTCATATCTCAGATCTAGCGGTCAAAACTGGAAATGAAAAATGTTCATATCTCGGTTCTTAAGTCAAGATATAACTGCCAAGTGTTTGTGTTTTTTTCAACAGGATGTGTTGTATTCTGTTTATTATTTAAAAAGCTAAGTGATTATTTAAACACAGTGTGTTGCACATCTAATGTGTTTTATTTTCTCATCCGTTCAGCTGGAAACCCTGCATCGCCAGGGATTCACCTTGCAGCCAATCTCCAACATCCTGAGCCAGCAGGTGCAGTTTCTTCTTGACCTCGACAACATGACCCCGCTAACAGAACTTCTGCTGTCACATGGCCTCAGAATTAGCTCCATTGTTCTATTTTTGGAAAAAGTGCCTTTCACTGAAAAGAACACCTCTCTTAAACAAATGAAGATTTCAGTTGATGATTCCATCAAGCTTTTTAGAACTATAGGATTCAAGGAAAGTGATATTTCTACATTTCTTTCAACGGAACCTAGAGTTTTATTAACTAACAGCAAGATTCTGAGTTCTGTCATATCTCAGCTAAAGGGATTATTTTCAATGTCAGATGTACTTTATGTTTTAAAATGTTCTCCAAATGTTTTTTGCGATCCTTGGATTGAGACGAGAAAAAAATTTGATTATGTTTACTTTGAAATGGGCTACAAGCAGGCAGCCATATTGAATTCATTTATGTTCCAACACTCAGTAGATCACATTGAGGGTAGACACAAGTTTCTTCTTCGAGCCGGGTTTTTCCACGATGTGAGGGAAAAGGATGACCCCAAAATTAACCCAAACCCACCTCTGAGTGATGTTGTTGACACACCGGCTGCAATGTTTGCTAAAAAGTTTGGGGGTTTCCGGGTGGAGGAATACGAGACTTTTCTTGAAATGAGGGAAGTTGAGAGAGAAGAGGAGCATGATATCAGCAGTGAATCAGATGAAGAAGAAAATGAGGAGGAAGAGGAAGAGGAGGTGGAGGAGACCCATAAGAAAAAGAAGAAGCATTTGAAACGTAAATAGGCAAAACAAGAGCAAAAGTAGATATTTATTATTTGTACAGGTTGAGGTTTCTGTATATAGCTCTGAAACCTGCAGTACAACCAAAAAAAGATGGTTTATTAGAAACTTTTGATATCAGCCTTACAGTAAATCTGTAGACCTAGAGATGCAGACCATAGAGAATATCACCTGCCTCCATTCACCTCTCTGATTGTTCTTCTCTTTCCACTTGCTCACTGGAAGTGTGTGAAGGTCTGTCGGTATATTACCTCTTTACTGTTTTCTTGGTCTGCCTCATGGTCCTTAAACATTGCAGTTTGAATTGATTTGTTTCGTGATGAAATGAGATTTGACAAAGGTGGGGAGCTTCAACCTCGTGCCCACAACCTGAAAGGCACAGGTGTCTTACTTTATCTGTTCTCTACATTTTGACCTGTCTGGCTTTGGAGGCCCTGCTTGCAGCATTGGTAGACCTGGCTGAACTCTCAGGGTCATTGAGAAATAAAAGCTCTTTCCCTACATCAAGGTGGAGACCCTTTTGTCTTTCCAGTATAAAATTATGTGTGTGTGTTTTTAGAAAAATGAAACAGTAGTGACCTACATAAACAATTTGGTTTTATTTTATTAAACAATCTCTAGTAATGGCATTAGAGATTATATTTTTATATTGACCTTGGCTCCAAAGGTCTACCTGGCCTAAGATGGGTACCAGGTACTGTCCTGGAAGGTGGGCATGAGGTTAACCATATCATCCACTGAGTGCCCATAGATTGCTCTATAAAAATTTATATATAGCACTATGTTCATGGCTCCAGAGGGCATGAGAATAATATTGTATTTCATTTTTATGTTGTTACTGTTTTTATTGTAATCTTTCATTAAATAGACTATGTTGTTTCCATTATTTATTTTTCAGTCTTGCTTTTTTGTCATATTTATAAAACTTGTTGTTACAAATCCTTAAATATATTACAGGTATTCGACCTGTGGCCTAGTCTTCTTAATAATAAAAACATAATTTGAGGGCATTGATGAAGGTGGGCACACAAGAGGTAGGCAGAGATACAAGCGGGAAGATAATATCCATAAATGGATTAGAAATCTGTCAGTATACAATCAGGTCATGAGGCAGAGACCATTGGAGATCCATTGCAGTCATCCTTCATAGTGAAGATGGCACTTGATTCATTGACACATTTGTGTTGAGAAGTAATTCATTACAGTTACAGTTTTTGGGTGGTTTGAGACCTGGAGTGGCCTTGACATTCTCAAAAGGGAAGGAAAGAACAGTAACACTAAACTACCATGCATGTCATAAGAGGTGCCAAAGGAGGTTTGGTGTACATATATGGAAGGCTTCAACTGAAAAATTCAAACAGATATAAATAGGTTTACAGAGGGCTGGTCTTGAGTGGGTTTAGGAGCTATAGGTTGTTCAGAAGAAGACAGTTGTTAGCATAGCTATGGTTCAGAAGAAGATAGTTGTTAGCATAGCTATGGTTGTTCAGAAGAAGACAGTTGTTAGCATAGCTATGGTTGTTCAGAAGAAGACAGTTGTTAGCATAGCTATGGTTGTTCAGAAGAAGACAGTTGTTAGCATAGCTATGCTTGTTCAGAAGAAGACAGTTGTTAGCATAGCTATGGTTGTTCAGAAGAAGACAGTTGTTAGCATAGCTATGGTTGTTCAGAAGAAGACAGTTGTTAGCATAGCTATGCTTGTTCAGAAGAAGACAGTTGTTAGCATAGCTATGGTTGTTCAGAAGAAGACAGTTGTTAGCATAGCTATGCTTGTTCAGAAGAAGACAGTTGTTAGCATAGCTATGGTTCAGAAGAAGACAGTTGTTAGCATAGCTATGCTTGTTCAGAAGAAGACAGTTGTTAGCATAGCTATGGTTGTTCAGAAGAAGACAGTTGTTAGCATAGCTATGCTTGTTCAGAAGAAGACAGTTGTTAGCATAGCTATGGTTCAGAAGAAGACAGTTGTTAGCATAGCTATGCTTGTTCAGAAGAAGACAGTTGTTAGCATAGCTATGCTTGTTCAGAAGAAGACAGTTGTTAGCATAGCTATGGTTGTTCAGAAGAAGACAGTTGTTAGCATAGCTATGGTTGTTCAGAAGAAGACAGTTGTTAGCATAGCTATGCTTGTTCAGAAGAAGACAGTTGTTAGCATAGCTATGCTTGTTCAGAAGAAGACAGTTGTTAGCATAGCTATGGTTGTTCAGAAGAAGACAGTTGTTAGCATAGCTATGGTTGTTCAGAAGAAGACAGTTGTTAGCATAGCTATGGTTGTTCAGAAGAAGACAGTTGTTGGTATACTTCTTCTTAACAGATGTAAATGGTTAGGTACTTAGTTAATACTCTGGAAATCTGAGCTTTTGCTCTTTTATTTTTGGTGTTCCCCATAGTGGTTCCAGACCTCATCTGGGGGAAGGGGGACCATTAGTTTCCTTTGTGGGTTCCATTGTCCTGTTTTACATGTGGTAAGGGGGAAGGCATCAGATTCATGGTTTGCTGAAATCATCTATGATCGGCCTAAAGGTACATATATTCGCCTCCTAGGTGTAAACCCACAACAAAGGTGTCGCAACAATTACTCCAACAATTACTGCAGAGGAACGAAACTCCAACTCTACAAGAGCATCATTTTGCCAGTTCTTCTTTATGGAGCGGAATGCTGGAGAATGACCAAAAAAGATGCACACAAGCTGTCCACCTTCCACCACACGTGTCTACGTAGAATTATCAAAATTTTCTGGCCAGATACAATCTCAAACACTAAACTACTTCAAGCCACAAACCAAGAAAATTTAGACAGTATGATTACCAAGAGAAGATGGAAATGGCTTGGCCACGTTATGAGAATGACTTCTGATATACCTGCCAATACAGCTCTCACATGGACACCAGAGGGAAAGAGAAAACAGGGGCACCCAAAAACAACATGGAGACGAACGATGGAAAGTGACCTGAGTGCGGCATCTTTGACATGGAAAACTGCACTGAAGATTGCACAGCACTGGAAAGCATGGAAAGTCCTCTCTGAAGCCTCATGTGCCACTAGGCATAACGAGAACTGATGCTGATTAATGAAAGATGTCTCTGGCCCTACTAAGGGCAATTACAGAAGAAGAAGGATTTGATGGTAGCTGCTTTGATCGTCTTCTTCTTCTGAGCATTTGGTGGCTATAAATTCCAGCAGAAAGTTATGGTTTTTCATCTACTCCTGGAATCTGGTCTTGTTGACTTTCGCGGGCGGCACATCAATTTGACAGATCTGGCTTTTGTATGCAAACTGTTGGTTCCTTGCTCAGTTTGCATTTTGACTTCGAAGGCAACACCCCTAATTAGTTCTTTTTATAACATGCTTGTTTGAGGCCAGTGGATCTGTACATTTCCCCCCACAAATGGGGCCCCTGAATACACATACAGGGAGCCTTTTGCATTTCATGTGTGTGTGTGTGTACGTGTGCATGTGTGCGTGCATGAAAGTGCACACAATTGGTTGGCTTTGCCAGCACTACTGTCTCTGTTTCACTTATCACTGTGTAATAATGAGCATTTTGTGTGTGTTTTTCGTTGGCCCTGGAACAGAGTAATAATGTGTTGACCCGCTTATTGTGAAGTGAAACTGGGACTAACGACCAGCTAACATTAATAAAGACATGGGGTATCAACTGCAGGGGACGGCGAAGGATAAAACAACTTGGCATGATTAAGTTCAGGGCCTTTGCTGCTCCATGTGGAAAAAGAGGAGAGAAAAAGAAGAAGAAAGGCATGAAACTGAATGAAAAACTTCTAAATGTTATTGGCTCAGCAACAAAACACAAACAAAAGATGCACTTCATATTTATTTCTAGCCAAATAAAAGTTGCAAATTCTTTATGTCATGCATAAGCACAAAGTACTGATTATCACACATTTAAAAAAATGGTTGATTTGATTTGATTCAAGAACGGACATCAAAGCACTCGGGGCATTCCCATAATCGCTCCGTCCCTATCTTCAGCAGCCAGCCAAGAGTTTTGGTAGTCATGGTGCCAGTAGCATTCTGATTTTACGTCCGTCTTACCTTTCCTCTGAGCCTCAAGCATCTGCCATAATCTCTCGTCACTCTCCACTGCATTAATCTAACCAGACTGTGGTGATCCATCTGCTCCTCGGAACTGTACACGCTCTCCCACAAGGCACTAACTACGTTTAAAAAATGGCATCATGTATAAGCGCTAAACACTGATAATATCATGCATCAGCACAAAGCAACAATATTAAGCATAAGCAGGAAGTGTTTATATCACTCTGACATAGAAACAAAAGCTATATATATATATATCTATATATATATATGTGTGTGTGTGTGTGTAGAGAGAGGGGGAGAGAGAGATGGATGCACGCACACACATTTTTTTAAAAACATATAGTCAGTAATGCTAACTGTTTTGTGTGTGTGTCAATCAGTACTTTAACACACCATATGGTAAAAAAAGAATAAAATTCAGCATAAAATTACAAGTCTGCATCTTATTCCTAAATAACTTTGATTAGTCTTGTTTGAGAATCCTCTGGAAGACTGAGCTTTAATTCTTACATCTAAAGTGCTGAGTTTCTTGCATCTCTTGGAATGGGACTGGTGTATACAATGTTTCTCTTGACTAAGTGCTAAGATACAATTTCCATGTGGAAGGTATTGCAGAGATCTCCTTTCTCATAGGAGCTCTCCTCCTTTTCTCCTCTTAAACGTTTTCTCACAAGAAACATGTCTCTTTACCTGGCCAGCTAGCAGGCTTTGATGATCAGACTTTAACCACATTCAAAAATCTCCAGCTGAAGAAATGACATCCAAGAGAAACCCTACAATGAATGTTGAGGAGAAAGGCCAAAGGTGCTGGACTGGATTTTATACGTAAAATTAAAATGATTTGCACAGGATAGAACGGAATATAGGAATAGACTGCAAGCCCTATGTGTCATATAATGGCACAATATGATGAAAGTGATGATGAATCTTCCTTCATAATCCCAGTTTTACTATACTTCTTATGATTTTTAAATTACCCTTTCTGCCGTGATATTCTTTCTACTCATCTGTTTAGTCACATTATAAATGCTTCATATTCTTCTTCACCATTTTGAGCCAATTCCAAACAGATATCAATGACCTCCATTCATTTCTGTTACCGGCCTTCTCTTTCCAGTTGATCACTCCAAGTGTTTCTATGTCTTGGTCTGCCTCGTACACTACCATTCAACTCTTCTGTGTATGCAGTTTTGTTTTTCTGTTTATCTGCTATTCTCTCTATGTGCCGATCATTCCACTCTATTAGCCCTCACTATCTCCAGTAATTTTTTGTGATTAAAACAGATTGTATAAATTTTGCTGTTGCTTCTCACTTTCCGTTCTCCCCTGTTTGCATATTTGATGGGTCCAAATATTGACCTTAAAGCTCAGTTTATGCTTCAGATTAATCCTCACATAATCTATTCTGTGCTCATGTTTCTGCAACCTACAGTTGAACACAGACGCTCAGCCAGTGTATTACAAGTCATCCGGTCCTTACCATCTCATGCAGTCCCCCCATCTTTTTTGCCCCATCTCTGATTGCTTGATTTTCTTTTCCAATTTTTTTTTTGGGAGGGTCAAGGTTTTTAATTCTAAGATACCTGGTTCAATCCTAGATGTAGCTGATTTGGCAGCAGACTGCCTTGTATTTTTGAAATAGCAAAAAGCTGAGAGTCCAGGAGCAGTGGCCAACTAACTGAGCGTACAAATTATCTAGTAAAATAACCAGCAGCCAAACAAAAAAATGCTGTGGGCTGTTTTTGCAACGTCCTGTAGGGGACTGACAATTAACTTCATTTGTAGCATTGTGGGTTCTTGTGAAAGGACATTCTACAGGGTGTTCCATAAGTTTCCATACAAAGGAGAAATAACCACATCATCAACACCTTTACAAGTATAACTCCAGGTGTGCTTGTACATGTTGTCCTTCACCAGTGGAGAATGTGTTTTTAAAACAATAATACTTTTCCTGTGAATGAAAACCGACAAGCTGTAGTTAAATAAATATCATTTTTTTTAATGTGCATCCCATCTAGCCCCATTGTCTTTCCAGGTCCAACCACAGAGAAATGATGTTACTTATCTACTGGAATGGAATCAAATTATAGCATCAGTTTGTTCAGTTATGAACACAATGGTGCAATAAAGTTCATACAGGAATGTTTAGTAATGAACAATTTGGTATGATAAGGTTCATACAGGAATGTTCAGTAATGAACAAGTTGGTACAATAAAGTTTGGATAAGTAGAACAAATTTAATAAAGTAACCTAAACCAGGCAGTGTTTTCAAACATGATTATAACAGTCCAACATAACACAACACTTACAAACATGATTATAACAGTCCAACATAAAACACAACACTTACAAACATGATTATAATAGTCTAACATAACACAACACTTACAAACATGATTATAACAGTCCAACATAACACAGCGCTTACAAACATGATTATAACAGTCTAACATAACACAACACTTACAAACATGATTATAACAGTCCAACATAACACAGCGCTTACAAACATGATTGTAACAGTCCAACATAATACAGCACTTTCAAACATGACTATAACAGTCCAACATAACACAGTGCTTTCAAACATGATTATAACAGTCCAACACAACACAGTGCTTACAAACATCATGATTATAACAGTCCAACATAACACAGCGCTCACAAACATAATTGGAATCTTTTACTATAATTACACAAATTATAAGTTTCTGCCTTGTGCAGTGTAATAAAATAAGAAAAAGTAAAGGACCCTTGCCACGCCTTCAGGCATATAGGGCTAGACCTATTTTTGATAGACCAATTGAAACTCAATGGATGATGTGGTCTGCATCACGCAGGCTGTCTTTATTTCCCAGGACAATACCTGGTACCCACTCAAAGCTGAGTCAACCTGGCGCCAGGGTCATTTTTTGAAAACAAAAGTCTGGCTCCACCAGGACCCGAACCCAGGACCTTCCAATCCTCAGGCAAGCGTCTAGCCGCTAAGCCACGGTGGCTTTCCTGTGCAGTGTAATTAAAAATTATTATAAACAAATATAAGTAAAACAGCTTCTTTAATCATTATGAGATTAGCAGACAGCAGTGGATTCAAAAATTATTTTAAGAAAATTACAATACAGCAGTGTGTTAAAAAAACTTAAGAAAAATTAAAGGAACCAGCACATTAAAAATTATTTTCAACAAGAGCAGAAAAAAGCTGTTTTAAAGATATGCTTGAAAAAGTGAAGCAGAGTTTTAAAATTTTTGTTTTAAAAGATAAAAATGAAGCAGTGTAACGTAGCTGTTACACAGAAAAAATAAAGCAGCATATTTAAGATCAGTTTACAGAGAATACAATAAAGTATATATTTCAAAATATTTTTGAAAAGAAAATTAAATAAAGCAATACAATTATAATTAATTTTAAAAAGATTGAAATGATGAAGTGTATTTAAAGTTATTTGGAAAGAATACAGAATGGAATTTTACTTTTAAAGGGTCAGAAATCTGGCATGTGGGCCCGGTTTCATTTTAAAAATGAAACGGTTTATTCGAAATCATTTTAAAATAGTTAAATTAACAAGAAAGGTTTTTAAAGTATTTTTAAAAGATTAACTCTTTCAGTCCCAAACAATTATTTCTTCTACTCTCCTATCCCAAAGATCAGGCTTAAAAGAAATAAACACTAAGATCTCAAAGAGGTCAACAGAGACACTATGGGACTGAATTAGTAAAACTAGTCATTCAGACACAATGGGTTAATGTAGCAACTGTATCCTCAACTGTATGTGACTGAGGACAGCAAAAAAAAACAGAAATAACCAAGAAACATAGGTTGAATTAGCTCGTACTGAAAGAGTTGAGTAAGATTTGGAAATTATTTGAAAAAGAATAAAATGAACAATAATTCCAAAATTAATTAAAGATTAACATGAAGCAGTGCATTAAAAGAAATAATAATTTTTACACGCATGCAAACCCACAGATACGAGCGCACACCACTCACACATATATATCTAAAATCCTGCTATTTAGACCTGTCGTATCATTACTCAACAAACTGGCAATTATCAACCTATTTCAACAACAGTGAAAACATGAAAATGCAATGATACAGATATGTAAGAAGATCTATCGACCTCTCTAACATGATATTACAGGTTTCTGTAGGGGGGGGGGAGGGAGGGCTGAGCTGTAGAAAAGGCAGACCAAAACAAAAAGGGCAGGGATTCAGACTTTGGCTAATTAATGGACCTCAGACATCAAATCCACTGCCTGTGACTGACAGATGTGGAGAGATCTGATCAGACATTCAGCAGCAACTGGTGATTCAATGACATGCAGTGTCATGGGACTGATGATAAAGAAGATTAAAATTTCAGAATCACACAGTACCTTTCTAATAGTTCAAACGAGCTGCAGCTGTGTAGTGGCCAGCACAGTCACACACTGGCTCAGTGTTCAAACCCCAGACAGTGTGGGATTTTCTTCATGCCAACATGGCTGGAGTAGAAAGTAGCAAATAAAGATCTGAAGACATTTTCAAGAATGGGAAGCCACTGTAGTAAACAGGCTAGACATTCACCTGCCGGCCCAAAAGTCTTGGGTTCAAATCTGCATCAAAAAAAAAATTTTTTTTTTTTAAATTTATCTCGACTTAGGTTGATCCAGCTTATGGGTAGCAGGCAATGTCCAGGGAAATAAAGACAGCCAGCATGATGCCAACCACATCACTCGTTGAGCTAGCTGGTTTGTTAAAAAATGTGACTCTAGCCTCATATATTCAGTGAGCCACTGGCAGGAACAGAGTTAAATAATTTCATGCATATTTTCCATTGACTGGGTTCCGAGGCTCCATTTTGGGGAAGATCGGAATAGACCCACTGTGGCCTAACAAGCATGTCATAAAAGGCAACTATTTAATGTTGTTTCCTTTAAAGACAAGAGTACATCTGCCTGAGAGGCAAGGAATCAACAGTATGCAAACAAAGAAGCCAGATCTGTAAAATGGATATACGTGCAAAATAACAAGATCAAAGTCTAGAACTGGACAAACAACCAGAATTTTCCATTGGAGTTTACAGATAGTGAATACTGAGAAGAAGAAGAATAAGATGAAGCAGAACTCTCCCGCCATGTCCAGCATTTCAAACTCAAGGCAGCACCAGGACTAATGTCGAGGTACACCTAGAGGCACACATGAGCACATAAGCCTTGTCCCAGGACTCCAGTCTATGGACAGCTGCAAGCTCCTCTGGGGTGAAGTACTGACAGACACATGTGTCTTTGTTGCTGCACTGTCCACAGAGTTCATCCTTGAACCTCTTGATCTCTTCCTCTGTGTATTTGTGTGCTACATATGGTTTGTCTGGTTCTGTGAATAGAATTGATATGAAATTAACAGATTATTAAATCATTATATCAGCTTGGTCATGTGGGACAGAATGGACAGGGAATTAACAGATAGCAAGATTAGTTCATTATGTCAACACAGTCATGTGGGACAGAATGGACCCAAAAAAAAAATAACATGATTAAACCATTTTGTCAACATAGTCCTGTAACAGATACTGACTGCTGTTGGCATGTGAACTACTGACTGCTGTTCGCATGTGAACTGCTGACTGCTATTGGTATGTGAACTACTGACTGCTGTTGGCATGTGAACTACTGACTGCTGTTGGCATGTGAACTACTGACTGCTGTTCGCATGTGAACTGCTGACTGCTGTTGGCATGTGAACTACTGATTGCTGTTGGCATGTGAACTACTGATTGCTGTTGGCATGTGAACTACTGACTGCTGTTGGCATGTGAACTAGGAAGACTATATTCTATGCCTCAGTATATTCTAGGCTAGGGCTTTTCAACTAAGTTTACTCAGCGACCAAAATATAGAGAATGGGGATCATCACAGGCCAGAGGCAGCCCCAACAAATAAAGATCATTAATACAATGCAATTGACAATGATCCACAGGCTACGTCCTAGGCCTCCGGTGGCCATGTTTGGTTCATGAGCTGCCAGTTGAATAGTCCTGTTCTAAACCATGGCATGGTGCGTCAAGGTAACAGAGTGTGTAGACATTTGCCTGTCCGCCCCAAGGACTGTGGTTCAAATATGCAACAAGGTGAATAAAAAAATTTAAAAAACAGCACACAATGGGCAGCAGATAGTGTCCCAGGAAATGAGATGTCCAGATATATGATGACCACATTAACCAGTCTTTAAAAATATAGGTCACACACTACACGTCTGATGTGCTAAAGGGACTTTACTTACTTTTTATTACAGCAAAAAGAGACAGAGGGGCTAGTTCACTTCTTTACCAGAAACTTAAATTGTACTCATTTTATGAGGCAGGATCAACATCAGAGCTATTACTGGGTTGTGGCCCAATGTCATAGCTATCTGTACAGTGTATTTGTCTTGTGCTTCTCAGATGGCTTGAATGATGATTTTGTTCATTCTTTTGCATGTTTCAGCTATGCCTTCTATCCATATCTTCCTTGGTATTCCTCTCCCTTTGGCCCACATGTTCTGCTGTAGATGGTCTCATCATTTATAGTTTGGCCTAGAATTATTTTTGTTTTTTCTCAACTGAATATTTTCAGTTTAAGTTCTGAGCAATTTCGAAAATGGATGATCCAAGTATTTGTATTAAATAACAAATCAATAAATCATGACTAAAGTAGAAGTTGTGGTAGATTGATCGATCACATGGGAAAAGGGAGGGGAAACGGGGGGGTAGGGCGGAAGCTTGTCAGTAAATGTAAAGTTTGTGAGGCAATGGAACGCCACGAGAAGGCTGTAAGTCCCTCAGATGTACTTAGGGGCATTGACTAAACACACGGCAGTGGCTGAGACAAAGACGAATAGGACAGGATAATAACAAATTTTCTTGTTAACTGTTGTAGACATGTCTTTCCACAGCCTTTCATCTTGTGTATTTTCAAACCTTTCTAACAGAAATAATCCTCCATGCCACGATGTTACTCTGTCCAACATCTTGTCTCTTGTAGTTCCTCTGCCTGTCCTTCCTTCCAGCATTACTGCTGTTACATAGTACCTCAGTTTTTCCTTCTCACAGTCTGACAAAAGATCGTAGATGTTTTCCTTCTGCTGTGTGTAATCAGTTGTCTTTGTGAGTTAGTTTCTTTCAAGACATCCTCATTTCACTTGTTAATCTGTTCCAGTATTCTCATTATTCGTCTATAAATCCACATCTCAGCAGATTTCACGTAAAGTTGTATAACATAAAGTTGTATTATATAAAGTGTACGACATGTAGTTGTATGTTATAATGCCTCTTTTCAGGTACGACTTACCTGTGGCTTTTAAACGCAGTAAGTTTTCTTGTGAGATCAACTGAGCTTCCTTTTCAGAAATAGGCTCATACAGATGATCAAATGGCGCCCCCTCCTCAGCAACATGGGTGGAAATTCGGACTTTGTCAATTTTTGGTCCATAATTGTTGTCTGTCATCGAGAAATGCATTTCTTCTCGAGCCAGTTGATCTAAGCGTTTTAAGTAATCACTACCAAACTGGGTCCTTTTCACCAACATCTTGGGCTCCATTGATCCATTTCGGATTCCTTGACTTAGTTCCATGTATTCTGGAAGATGGCGAGCACTTGGGACACAGACCACAACCTAGCCGAGAGAATGAAATTACAAAATTTTTGAGAAATAATGGCTGGCCGGTACATAATAAGTGAATAGAATAAGGCCAATAATGACCACCACCATGACGTGTAGGTACAGGTCATCATTCCTCAGGACAAAGCATGAGAAACTTAACTAGCATTTGCACAGGTTTTTATCAAAGTTTTTCACCACTGTGCACATCTGGGCTGTGCATACAAACTATAGAACAGGTCCAGCTAGACTGTCCTTTGTAAAGTTAAAGTTGGGAGATGTGAACCAGCATCACTGCACACGGTTATAAACCATTAGTGCTCTGCCACCAGTGCGGACAGCTGATAATAAACTGTGTCGCCGTAGCTACAGCGACGTTCCTCCAGTTACCCCAGAATGTCAACTCTGGTACCCATTTCCTAGAGGCTGGGTGAACCCAGGGAACCGCCCGGTTTCCAACACTTAGGCTGTAGCTAGTTGCAGCTGGATTTGAAAGTGAGGCTCGTATCGACTGCGCTAACCCGGCAGTCCATTAGAAGGAACTACTAGCCAAATGAGACAAAACCATACTCAAAGATGTATGGAACAAGACAGGAAATTTAGAACCAAAAAAATTAAATATAAAAACAGTCAATTTTATCTTAAGAACTTATTTGTTGGTTTCATTTTTTTCACATGGACTTGGACTTCTAGCAATTCCCCCTGGTCTCTGGTTAGTGAGATTGGGTGTCTGTGTACATTGTTGTGCACACACACAAAATCCCTTGGCAGTTAGAAATCAAAAAGAGTAGCCTAACTGCCCGGGCAAAATTTGGAGTTTAAAATCTACCCAAAGTATTTCAGGATTAGTGCCGGTGCTACAGAGCTTGTGCACTGTGCTAAGCTTCTTTGGACTCAGACTTCAGTTAGAAGAAGAACGGAGCACTTATGGGTCACTACCCGTGTGCCATATTGTCGATTTGTTGTTCAAACCACCTCAAACAAGAAATCAGAAAAGCAGAAAAAAAATTGATTTCATTATCATTTAAAGGCAGCAAAAAGCCAGGATGAAGACAAAGGTAATCCAGGGCTGAGGTTTTAACCACTGACCTGGCTAATGTCGACAACATGGAACAACTATAGTTAAAGGCAACAAGAAGCTTCTATTCCCTATTTTCGTCTCTGGATTGCTACCTAAAGGTGTGAGACACTGATTACACAATCTCAGTGTGGACAACAGTTCAACAAGGTAATATCCTAGATACTCTGTTTAACCTCTAAAGAAGTGATTTCTGTGGGGCAACTGTAACAGCTACACCAGCCTGGCATAACTTGCAGTCCTGTGTGGGTAAGGGACACATTGTCACCACTGGGAGCTTACAGGCACTCTTCTCATATCCATGTCTTCATTCATTGGCTATTATGAGCTTTCTCTGTATCATGTAAGAAAGTCCTTTTCCATGCCTTTAGGCATATTGGGCATATAAGGTTAGACCTATATTTTACGGACCAATAGGTACTTGGTGGGTGATGTGGTCCACATCATGTCAGCCGCCTTTACTTTCCAGTTTAAGGTTGAGTCACCTGCCATAATGCAAAAGTGTCCAACATCCTCTTTCTTTGTGTCTTCCTCCCACTCTCCCTGCTCCATGATATACTCCAGTCTTTCCAAGAACTTCTAACTTTCAGTATACTCCAAGCCATCAACTACCAACTTACTGTATATTCCAAGCCATCAACTACTAACTTACTGTATGTTCCAAGCCATAAACTACTAATCTACTGTGTATTCCAAGCCATCAACTACTAACTTACTGTATGTTCCAAGCCATAAACTACTAATCTACTGTGTATTCCAAGCCATCAACTCCTAACTTACTGTATATTTCAGGCCATGCACTACTGTATATTTCAGGCCATACACTACTAACATACTGTGTATTCCAAGCCATAAACTACTATCTTACCATATACTCCAAGATATAAGCTACTCACCTACTGTATATTCCAAAGGATGAGCTACTAACTTACTGTATATTCCAAACCATAAGCCAACTTTACACTTCAAGCAATAAACTAACTTACTTTATACTCCAAGCCATGAACTGCTCCAACTGGACAAAGAACAAAGTTGTTTTCCAGCTCTTTGCCCTCAGCATTCATAACCATCTGCTCTTCAACCTTCAGTGGCACCCCTGAGTTATAGAGTTCCTCACACAAGGGGCTCGAGCCTGTGACATTATGGAAATGTGAGAACCTAACTTATTGTCATCTTCTTACATGTTTCCTTTCCATGCCCCCCCCCCCCCCCCCCCCCCCCCCCAATACATCCTTTAACAGGTTGCCACAGTGGCTACAATGCCCAGTGGTCATTTGTTCAACCCTTCTTTGAGGCAGGGTTGGTTTTCATTGACAAGCAATACCCCATTTGGAAAATAGAAAAGGAAGAAGGTGGAAAGGGGGGGGGGGGGGGGGGGCGATTTAAACACTGCTCCCCAACAAGTATGTTGGAAAAGGCAACTAACTGAGGATTATATTAAATTTGATGTGTTTTTGGCAGAAACGCTGAAAGGCACAGATATCAGTTTGATAATTTACCCAGTGCACTAGTAGGATGAAAATAGTTCTTTACTTACTGTTCGGTTCAACACTAATTCATTTAGTTCCAGGAAGTTTTGAATTCAACAGTATCTGTACTAAAGTGTTTGTATCATAGAGTAACAGTTTTCAGTCTCATAAAGCTGAAAACTTCAGCTTTGGACCAGGTGTTTTAGTCTTCTTCTTCTTCTTCTTCTTCTTAGCGTTCCCTGGTTGAAAACTCTGGTGGAAAATTTCTGGTTGTTCGTCTGCTCAAGGACTTGGGTCTTGATCGAGAACTTGAGTTTTGTGTGTAAATCCATTTTACAGATCTGGCTAATTTGTATGCAGACTGTTGGTTCCTTACCTATCAGATAGATGCACTCCCACTTTGAAGGACATGCCTCTATACACTCAAATTTTATGACCTGCTTGTTGAGGGACAGTGGGTCTATTCTGTTAACCCCAAAATGGGGCTCTTGAACCCACATGGGAAGGTTTTATAGTAAAAACTGTAACATTAAGGGCTAACAGAAAAGAGGAACTAATGTATGTGCACTAAGTTCCTTGGTATCGAAAGACTTACAGGCGAGGTTAGGGTCTAAGTGAGTGGAACCAACAATACTGGGGGACATAAGGTACTAAACCAGTTTTCAATAAGGAATTTGTCAATGGTTGCCCACTGGGTCTCTGGGTGTGCCTTCAGTATCACTGGTGACATCCTAAGCAAACATATGGCATGGTTAGCCACAAGGTTACAAGTTCAATGTTTCTCCTGCAGAGCTCTGTATTTCTGCAATGCTGCTACCACACAGTTTTAAGCACTGGAACAATTCCCCCTTTTTTTCAGATACGAGCATTTTACATCTCTTTTACAAAAAGAAATATCAGGAAATATCACAATTATCAAACAAGATTGTGTATAAATGAGTACTCAGGTGCTTGGCACAGCACCCAGCAGTGTTAAAGTTGGCTAGCTTCTTTTCAAAAAGGTAATAAGTAAAATCAAGCAGCCTGCCAAAGAGCATCCAGGTCAACTTCACCTCCTCATGGGGCACGCTGGAAAACTAAAGCCGCAAGGTTTCATGCTAAAATGGCTCTCCTGGAAGGGCAAGTTTTTTTTTTTTTTTTTTGACCCACAAACTTAGAAAGCTTGCAGTAGTGTAATCAACTGCTACTGCACAGGAAAGAAATAGTGAATAATAAGAATGGACAGGGTTGCAAATACCAGCATTAGAGAGAAAATTGGAATAAGACTGTGTCAGAATTATATTATCAGTCAAAGAATGAAATGGTTTGGCCATCTAGTGAGATTGCAGCCAGACCAAACTGCATGAGAGTTTTTTTTATTTTTTTCATTTTTTTTTTTTTTTTTATTAACTCAGAACATTTGGTAGGAAAGTTAGTGGAAGACCAAGAAAAAAGTAGATAAATGGTCAGGCTGAAACCTTCAAAAATATTTACAAATCCATTACCTAAGCCACCCGAGAAGCACTAGATAAATTATAAAAACCATGACATTTGTCTACACTTTGTCACTGTTATTCATTTACCTACATAGATTGTCAATCAATGACAAAACACAAAAAAACCATTTCCTGTGCCAATAAGGCAGCGAACAGTCCTTAACTTGTCTGGTCTGTCGATGTACTCATGTAATTATGTAACATCGTTATATAAGTCGTACTTAAATTCCACCTACCCTATTTCACTATCATTCATATATCCATACGGCCAGCTCGACTGTGACACACTTACCCAATATAACCATTTCCTGTGCCAAAGCTTCTCGGGAGATTGACCAGTATCCTCTAGCATTGTAGTGGTGCCAGCCTCGGGGGACTGTGACTGGCAGGATCGCATCACTGAAGTTCAACTGTGGGTAGTTTGATCCCTCAGCTGAGCCATCCATGTTATTATAATGAGATTTTTTTCCTCCAGCTTTCTTCTTCTTTGACCTTTCACCTACATTAGCCCCTATTCTGTTTTGATTCTGAGCATTGTTGCTGTTTTCTTTACAGTCTCTTTCATTTTGGTTATTTATTATCTGGTTGTGAATGTTCTCAATATCCTGCTCTGGAGTTAGTGTATCTGTGTTCTTTGTGCTGTTTTGAGTTTTGTTGCATTTCCTATTACGAGATTTAGTTACAGAGTTAACAATAGGAACTTCCTCTTTATTTAAATCTTTTGTTGCAATGAATTTTTCTGGATTGTAAACTTCTGAGTGAGGACTGCAACCAGTAGTAACATTTGGGTTGTTATTATTGATAGTCTTACTCACTGTCATGTGTGCATTCTCATCTGGATTATTGTTTTCAAAGGAAACAGGATGTTTTTTCTTGTTCCTGTTTTGCTTCTTTCGAGTTTTGTTTTTAGGTATTACAACAGAACCAGTTTCAGGACTGTCCAAGGGAATCTCAACATCCATGTAAGTATTATCTATTCCACTGTCGCTGCCAACACTGCTCCCAAGTTTATGTATAAGGTCAAATTCAGAGTGGTTTCTCTCAACAGATTTAAAGGAAAATGATTTGTTGCTGTCCTGTGGGGCTGTCAAAGCTGGCTTCTGATTGGATGAGTGTTGATTAGTTATTTGATTAGTCATTGTGTCGCTGCCAACACTGCTATCAAGTTTCTGGACTTGGTTAAGTTCAGTTTGGTCTCTACAAACAGACTCTAAGCAAAATGACTGGCTGTTTTGTTGCTGTTGTGTCAAAGTTGGCTCCTGACTTGATGAAATTCGATTAGTTATTCTGCCCCTCATGTTCAAATGGTTGATCAAGATGTCTGATAGTTTCTGGCCGCAGATTCTACAGTCATATGGCTGGACAGATGGGTCGCCATGCTGGGAATGGATGACGAAGAAAGCTTTCAGCCCATCTGTTGGAAGACCAGCTTTTGCACTCTGTAACCGAATGTAAGAAAGAAAACTGAAATCCAGTATCTGAGAAAGCATTGGACACTTTCATTAAAATCATCATCATATGCCATGCTGATAAATAAAGGTGGTCATGTTTCACAACATGATCACCAGAATAATGGATCAAGTCAGTGTTCTTGTCTCATCTCATCCATACGGCTAAGCCATGCAGTTATTCGTCTATATATTCTAAATATAAAGGGGTGTGGTGTGGTAATGATAATGATGAAAATGATGGTTATGAATAGGCTAGTAATGGTAATGAAGTCGGCTGTGATGCACAGAGGAGGACATTAATATTAAAAAGGATGATGGTAACAATGAAGATGATAAATGTGGTGGCGATAATACTATTCATGATAGTGCTGGTGACAATTATGATAGTTTTAATTATGGTGGTGGTTATGATGTTGAAAACACTGATGTTGATATTAATGTTCCTGATGGCAATAAAGATGAAAATGGTAACAGTGAGGTGATGGTGATAAAGATGTTAATGACAGCAATGTCAGTGACTGTGATATTAATGATGGAGGTGGTAATAATGATGATAATGTAACAGTGAAGTGATGGTGATGAAGCTATAATGGGAGCAATGTTTGTTAAGGTCATATTAATGATGGGAATAGTTATAATGATAGTAACAGTAACAATTAGGTAATAAGGTAATTGTAGTTATAATAAAACAGTGAGGTAACTTTTATAATGATAGTAATGATAACAGTGAGGTGACAGTGATAAAAATGATTATGATAACAGTGAGGTGATAATGATAAAAATGGCAATGATAACAGTGAGGGAATGGTGACAGAGGCATTTATGATAACAGTGAGGTGATGATTTAAAAGATGGCAATTATAACAGTGAGTTGATGATGATAAATATGGCAATGATAACAGCAATTTGATGGTGATAAAAATGGTAACGATAACAGTAAGGTGGTGGTCATAAAGATGGCAATGATAACAGTGAGGTGATGGTGATAAAGATGACAATGATAACAGTGAAGTGATGGTGATGAAAATAGTTATGATAACTGTAACATGATGATATTTTTGATAGTCATAAAGTTGGTAATGATATTAATAGTGGCAATGATGATGACATTATTGATGGTAAAGATGATATTATTGATGGTGATATTAATAAAGGTGATGGCGTGAGATGATAATAATAATGGCGATTGAATGGATTGAGGATGTTAGAATCTTCAAGAGGAATCCTAGAATGACATTAAGAAGAGAGGCCAGTTGTGTAGGACCGGATTCTTTCCATGTAATTAACAGATGGATTCCATCCATGTAATTAACAGATGTTATAAATAGACATGAACAGGGCATAACAGAATGAAGGAGTAGACTGCATGCCTTCTTCTTCGCCTCAGCGCGCCAGGGCAGGAAGAGCTCTCTTGAACAGGCCATTCTGTTTGCTTTCGTATAAAGTACTATTCAGTGTCTCTGATATTTCTGCTGTACATTTTCTGCGTGGTCGACCTCTGGCTCTGTTACTGCAGTATCTGTATAGAACTGCTTTCCGTGGTGCCCTGTCTGGTGCCAATCTTGTTACATGGCCAAACCATTTGATTTGTTGTCTGCCCATAAAGTTCAGTAGTCGTTGTGGGCTGACTCTGCATGCATTATGTAACGGAAAAAAAAGCACAATAAGATGATGATTAAAATGTTGATGCTGAAACATGGTAATGAAGATGATGATAGCAATAATGACATGTTGGATCTCCAACACTCTTTGCTTCTCACCCTGGTTTTACACTCAAACATACTACTCTTTGTACAACTTCCTGTGGTGCACTCCCCTTCCACAGGAAAACAGAACAAAGAGGAAAGTTAAAGTCCAGAGGATCGACTTCAATGCACTGGGTCCCATATGGCTCAATCTCTCTCTGTAGAATGGCTAGCTGCCTGTCAAGAGCATAGCCTAAAGCGTACGATCTTTAGCTTCAACAATAATCAACATGGATTTCCATAAAAACTGTTCTCATGAACTGAACAGCATATCCATAAACAAACCCATGACTTCAGAGTGCATGGTGAGTAGCTTGACCTCTTTGTCACTGACAGGAGACATCCCACACAGAAAGAAAAGAAGGTAAAAGGGAGTCTCTTAGGATAGTGAGATAAGTAAAAAATGGTAATGAATATATCTTGATAGAAACTAAATCATGAACAGAAATGATGTACCCACATCAGAAAAAGACAGTCTACATTCTTTGGTCATGCCATGAAAAAAGAGAAAACTGCAGTACATCATGATGGTGGGAAAGTTGGAGGGGACATGAGGCAGAGGGACACCAAGAGAGAAGATGCCAGACAATCTGACACCAAGGCATGGAAGATCATCTGTGTCAGAACTGATTTAAAGTATACAAGACAGAAGTTTGTGGGATAAACATGACTACTAACAACACACAGCACAGATTATAAGAATAAAAAGAAGAAATTCATACATCCAATTTGTACAACTGGCATCTCTCATCTCTGTTATCAACAATTCTCAGCACTCTCTGAACCGACGGCGGACATCTCAGAATCACCTGTAGATTGATCACAGTGTCAGCTTTCAAATGATACATAGCAATTACAATTAGTAAACTGTCATTAGGGCAAAAATTAACAAAACACAAGTCCCAGGTTTTACTGATAACCTTTATACAGGACAGCAGGGTACACTAATTAAAGTTGCCAATAATTAAACATAAGAATCACTTTACATCAGCGGTGAACCTGACATGTGATGCTAGACTCAGATTGTTAAAGACTAGGGGGCTACGTGGTCTCAAGGCATGGCATCTGCCTAGAGTGCTGGAAGTCCCAGGTTCAAGCCCCATTGAAGGCTGGGATTTTTTTACATGGATTTTTAGTAATTTAACCTGGTCTCTGGGTAGTAAGATCATACGCCTGTGTGTGTTGGCTAGCACGTTAAAAAAAAAATCTTTTGGCAGCTGGAAATCGAAAAAAGTAGCCTAACCTGGGCAAAATTTGGAGTTCAAAATCAACCCAAAGTATTTCAGGATCCTCACCGGTGCAACAGAGTCCATGCACAGTACTGAGATTCTTTGAGCTTAGACTTGAGTTAGAAGTAGAACGGAGCACTTATGGATTACTACCCTTGTGCCATGATGTTGATCCGTTGTTTAAACCTAAACCTGTTACAGACCAGTCATAACTCCATTGGGTCAACTTCACATGAAAAGTCGGGACATTAGGATGCCCTAATAATAATTTTAGAGATTGCATGGGAAATCTGGGATTTTTTCTTTTCGACTGACATCAAAGATGCATCTGATAGTTGCTTCTTCTTCCCTTTTTCTTCAGCTTAATCTTCTGCTTCATCTTCTTCTTGTTCTTCTTCTTTTTGTTCTTTTTGTTCTTCTTCTTTTCCTCGTTCTTCGTCTTCTTCTTCTTCTCCTCCTCCTCTTCCTCCACTTACCTCATCTAGATGCTATGACGTCAACCTCCAGGTGATAACCCAGAGTAGAAAAATATTCAGTCACAAATGAAATTTATGGCACACACCAGCAGAAGAGTAAGAAAAGGTATATTAGCTTTCTGAGGAAAAGTACTAGGTAAAAGAAGCAGGGCCAAATACTAGGTAAGGCAGATGATAAAAAAAGGGCAAAAGATAATAATATAAGTAAGATTAACTTTGAAAAACAAAATAATGGAACACAAACAGATTATTATGGTCTGGAGAGAATGGTGCAGTGGGTAGTGGTCATGGATCTGGTCAATGCTGTCAGAGTAAAGGCAACTCAACATATAATCAATCAAACTGCTACTGATACCATCAACATGAGACTCTTTCCTACCTGCTGTAGATGGGGATGGAGCATGTATGGGAATGTCCTGCGTGCTATGATGTCAATTCTTAACTCAATTTAACGATAGGGGAGGGGGGGGGGGGGTGGGGTGGGGGATGGGGGGGTGGGGGGGGGGGAGAGAATGGGGCTATTAAGCCACTTCTTTCCTTGACACCAGCCAGGATGGTATAGCGTCTGCTGATCTAAAATTAGGTCCTGACAGAGCCAGATTTTTTTTAAATGTCCTGGCACCCATGTCAACCCAGCCTTAAACAGGTACGAGGTAAAGTTCTGGGATGTAAAGGTGGTTCGCATGATGGTGACCACATCACCCACCAAATGCCAATTGGTCTATAAAATATTGGTGGTCCTTCATTTTTTTTTTTTTTACTTTCCTCGAAAACAGCAACACTTTAATTTTCTTCATACACACAAGGACGTTATTCCCAACAGGTTGGTCTGACTTTCAAGGGCCTACTTTAACCCTTACCTCTAAACTTCCAGCCTCAAAGCCCTCTGGCTGGCACTCAATCAACATTCCAGCACACCAGATGGAGCTGTAGGGATATGATTTCTTCAGTAAATGCAACAGCTTCTCAGTCTCCTTCACCCAAGCTATCTCATCCAGCAAGAAGTGGAATGTTTCCCCTCTGACATGCTCAGACACAATGGACAAGAGAGTTTCCTCATTGTCCATGAGGTCCAGATCTATTCTCATCACTTTCTTTCTCAGCCCTGCAAGAATTAGTTTACTTGAATTTAAAAAAAAGAGATAAAAAACAACTGATTGCACAATTTACAACGTACATTAGAATTAAAGCCATAAACTTATTAGAACAATGAGATGTATATAGTCAATAGTTTTTGGACATATTATGAAAAGAAATGGACTCGAGAACTTGGTGACAACTGCCAAGATTAAGGGAAGGAGAGTAAGGGGAAGGCAAAGAGGTAAACACCTGGGTGGCCTGGCCAGAAGATGGGGTGATATGATAATACTGAACTGAACCCTAATTCTTGTGACTGCGTGAGATGGCAAAAATTACAGCATAAGCTTACCAGCATAGGAGATTATAATGAGGGTGGGGAAAAATGTATCTATGGGACTTGAGGAGTTAACCGGACATCTGACATTTCAGGGCTAATATAACGTGAATCAGCATCTTCGAACAAAGAAGACACAAACAATAAACTGTATAATCTATTGCATGGAATATTTCAATGTATTTCATCAGGTGCATACTAGAGATCCCTGCGCAGGCTCTGGAGCCCCACTGTGGGGAAAACAAGAATCGGACCAATGCTTTTTTTTCAAAAAAAGCAAGATGCGAAAGTGGACTAACTGGGGACTTTCTTCAAAGTCAGAGTGCATCTGCCCGAGTCACAAGGAACAACCAACTAAACACAAATAAGCAAGCAAAATGGATTTAGACGCAAAACTCAGGCCCTGGCAAAAAAGCCAAAGTCAAAGTGGATGAACAACCACATCTTTCCACCGGAGCTTACAGCAGGTGAACAAAGAAGAAGAAGAAGTGGAAGAGGTGCATACTATAGTAGAACATATTTTTTTTTTAAAAACATAAAAAATAAAGCACATTAGTGAATCTTTTTAATTGAAGTACAAATTCAAGCACTCTGAAAAAAAAATCATTAATCTTACTATATTTCAGAATTATGTAAACAGAAAGACATGGTAGTGAAACTACACTTGCCCTGGTAGAACTGGTATACCCCCACCCCCCTCCCCTTTTTAAGAGTGATTAAATTTGTACGCAGTTGTAAAAAATTCACTTTCTTGCTTTATTCTCTTCTTTTTCTGTTTTTTTTTCGTGTTCATCGGCTATAAACTCCAGTGGAAATGTTCTAGTTGTTTATGTGCTTACGACAGTAACAAGTCAATACAGTGTTGCAAATAACTGAAAACTGTATCGCGCTTTTTAAACTCCTTCAAAGTCAGACTGTTGTAACTTCAACACTGGCTACCTCATCTTTACTGTAACAATGCTTGTGTCCTAGAGGTTGGGAATGATTTATCTGGTGGATTGAAGGAGTTAACTTGACATCTAAATAGTATTTTAACTGCTTCTTCTTCTTCTTCTTCTTTTTCTTCTTCTGCTTCTGTGTTCAGCCTTCAAAGAGTGGTTGGCATGTAATTTTGTAGTTTTCAGCTAAGCTGTGATATCAACACTTTTTGGTCCAAAACATCAAATTTCAGCAAAACCTAAATTAGTCCCAAGGCATCGGCTTCTAAGAATATCCCAACTTTAAAAAATATTTTTCTCATAATGACATTATTGCAATAACTTCTTCTTTTTCTTTCATTCGCTTGAAATAGATTATTTAGATCTGCAGTTCTGTCTCTAGTATGGACTTCACTGTCTGTTGTAATTCAATCAGTGACTCGTAAAGTGCGATTGCATTAGTGTTTCTCATGGCCAAAAGTTGTACCTAGGACAGTCTTGGAGGACATGATCTGTTGTCTCAGGTGCTAGTCAACATGTACATATGGTTGATTCGATAATCTTAAATTGTCTGTACATGTGGCTGCAAAGTTGACTGTACTGTTCTAAGGCTTAGAATGACTAGCTCTGGTCTGTCCATTATTGGTAATCATCTTGATCCACAACAAGTCACAGACTTTTGAGCTGGCACCGCTGATGGCTTCCTTATGTATTTATTGCATGTGCAAGTTGCTGGATTTTACCAGGACTGCTGTTTGTTGAACGTGGGACAGTGACATTTTGTGTAGTTTTCATTTATACAGAAGGGGAGTGATTGTGAGGTGATCCGTTTGACATGAAGTTGGAACTGCAACTTAATAGTGATCAGGAATAAAAAACACAATATATAATCTCTTAATATTTTCTACCAATATGCTTTCCTGACCTTCAGTTTTATTGATGGTTGTTTCGATGACCTGTCCGACTGTCCTTCCCCTTGACCCCAGCCTAGTATTCACAATAGCAACATTCCAATCCCGTCTCAGCCACTGACGACCTGAAAATGTACATCAATAAGATCTTTAACCTGTCATTCGCACAATAAATCTTCCTGTGTTACTACCCATTAATTTATTCTAGAACAATTGACTGTGACTTCCACATGAGTAAAAAAATTACCATATCGTGTGTCCTGCCATAAGTATAGGTGGTCATGATTAACCATCCATATGATCACCAGAATCATGGTTCAGGTCTGTGCACTGATCTCATCTCATCTTTGTTGCCAAAGCATCCTCTTCTTTCTTCTTTGTGTTCACCGGCTGTAAAGTCTGGTGGAAAGTTCTTGATGTTCGTCTACTTCTGGACTGGAGTCCTGTTTCAGAACCTGAGTGTTGCTTGTACATCAGTTTGACAGAATTGACTAATTCATGTGCAGACTGCTGGTTCCTTGCCTCTCAGGCGGATGCACTCCCACTTTGAAGTAAGCTCCCAATTAGTCGACTCTTACGACATGCTTTTGGCAGTGGGTCTATTCTTTTTTTCCCTATAATAGGGAACTGGAACTCACACAGGGAGGCTAAAGCATTCAAGTATTTATCTCTGTCTTTCCTATGCTCTCTATCCATCAAAACTGCTAGCCGTCACTTCTTCCTATATGCTGCCACCTTTCCGTCTCTCCAGACGACAGTAAGATTATAATGTGCTAGGGGAGGCACATAAATCACAGCTCAATGGGAAGGGCGAGTTGAGGAGAGTGGGAACACACAAGTTCCTTAACTACAGTGTGAGGACAAGGAAACACTTAAGTTCATCTACCAATACAGTGTGGAGACATATGGACATATAAGCCTTACTAGCACTATAAGGTGAAGACATTGAAACACACTGTCCCCTCTTTTGTGAAGATATGGCAGAGAGGAAAGAGAGAGACACAGAGAGAGAGACAGAGACAGAGACAGAGAGAGAGAGAGAGAGAGAGAGAGAAAGAGAGACAGAGACAGACAGACAGACAGACAGACAGACAGACAGACAGACAGACAGACAGACAGACAGACAGACAGACAGACAGACAGACAGACAGACAGACAGACAGACAGACAGACAGACAGACAGACAGACAGACAGACAGACAGACAGACAGACAGACAGACAGACAGACAGGCAGGCAGGCAGGCAGGCAGGCAGGCAGGCAGGCAGGCAGGCAGGCAGGCAGGCAGGCAGGCAGGCAGGCAGGCAGGCAGGCAGGCAGGCAGGCAGGCAAGCAGGCAGGCAGACAAGCAGACAGACTCAACAACCCATACGCTAAACCATGCTAACACACACACATCCAATTCCATTAGTAGCAAGCTGTCAGTATTTTTCTCAACAGAAAAATCAATGTAAACAAAAAATACAGGCATACATTTCACTAACTTCCAAAACCAACACCACCAACCTTTTAGAGAAAGCAGCAGGGTCTTTCCAGAGCCTGCAGGCCCCCAAAGGTACATGTACTGGTCCTCATGTTTCAACAGTTCCACCTGCTGGGGAGACAGCACTACTTGAGTGTACCTGGATGGGTGATAGCAGACCATTGTTAGCTTCACCACAGCTGGGAGTGCACATGAGATTTCTGTCATGTGCTGGGAGTTGTTGAAATGCTGAATGAGATGAAGATTTGGCTAGGTACAGTAAATGAGGCAATCAGGCTATACAAAATCACAGTGGAGACTGTTTAAAAGAAGTTTGAAGAACACTTACCATTGTAATACAGAGGTTAAACATTAAGATTTTCTGGTACAAAATCAGCAAATAGAATAAAGTGAGCAACACAGAGAGAGATCATAAACCCTTTCTTACTCTATTAGAAAAAAAATGTAACTTCCATGCCTCTAATATTCCTACATTATCATACTTCAAAAAGAAAAATGGACTCTCACACGTCAGGTGGACTTATTATAAAGCGGGTAGGATAAAACATAATCATTCATGTCTCCTGACCCGGAAGTGATTTCCTGCCAAGCTGCTAATTTTCACTGCTTAGTTATCTTAAGACCAAATGTTTGGACACTTCAAGCTTTACCAAGATTCCTTGTCAATAGTACTGACTTATGTCAAACATGAAAAAACCTCTGTTGTCTGAAAGTCTTCATGTAACAAATTTTCATTTCTTCTTCTTTGCATTCACTGGCTGTAAACTCTGGAAGAAAATCCTGGCTGTTCTGAACTTTGGCCCTGATCCAGGTATTGAGTGTTGTGTGCACATCTATGTTACAGATCTGGCTTATTTATGTGCAGACTTTTCATTTACCTCTCAGACAGATACTTCCAGCTTCAAAGGAAACATCAATCCTATCTAGCTGGCCAGACTCCCGGTTAGGGACCCATTTCTAGCATGACCATAGAAAGGTGTAGATGGGTTTTGACCACCATCAGCCCCATAGGCGACTGGTTCACCCATTGGCTCGCCAGTACAGAACTTTGTTGCCAGTCAGGACAGTATCTGGGTCTGTCTCCTTTGATTGCATCAACACTGCAGCAGTCCTTTTCAGATTTCTTGGGTGCATGCAAATGCTAAGCCATTTTATAGGCTTAGTCACTGTTATGTCCATCAAGATAATGATGATGACCACTCTTTTTCATCAAGTATGAGTACAAAGATTACTGATGAGGCCCAAAAAGTTCTTGGACAGTGAGGACAGGGAAAGTTGTTATAAGAATGTTTAAATGGCAATGCTAAGCCATTTTATATGGCACACATAACCTAGTCACAGTTATAACAATGTATAAATGGCAATGCTAAGCCATTTTATATGGTGCACATAACCTAGTCACAGTTATAACAATGTATAAATGGCAATGCTAAGCCATTTTATATGGTGCACATAACCTAGTCACAGTTATAACAATGTATAAATGGCAATGCGAAGCCATTTTATATTATGCACATAACCTAGTCACAGTTATAACAATGTATAAATGGCAATGCTAAGCCATTTTATATGGTGCACATAACCTAGTCACAGTTATAACAATGTATAAATGGCAATGCTAAGCCATTTTATGTGGTGCACATAACCTAGTCACAGTTATAACAATGTATAAATGGCAATGCTAAACCATTTTATATGGTGCACATAACCTAGTCACAGTTATAACCAAAAGCTCCCCTTTTAGGGATGCTGGTTGAACATGATGATTTGCTTTCCCTGCAAAGTACCAACCTACCAGCATGAGCCTTGGTCCTGATGCACTATTCCCTGTGGTTCAGCACCTTTGCCTCCCTTTATGAAACATATGGGCGAGACAGAAAGAAGTAAATCAACACCTGGGATGCCCATCAGAAATTAACCAACTACTACCTGTGTCCAGTCTCCCAAGCTGCTTGATTCAAGTTGCGGACTTCAATCCTTGGCTGTGCGTAGGACCAGACACTCACAGTTGACAACAGTCCCACAGTCCTGGTAAGCAGACATACAAGGTGAAAGTTAAATTGGATAGACTGAAATTCTGCAAAAGGTCAATCAATGAACACACTCTTCATACTAAACTTCAAAAAGAAGAGGTACTTTCTTAATAATTGACCACAGACAAGGAAAAACCATAGGTCAGGGGACAGTCAAATATTTTAGGGGGTTGTAGATTAAATTTATTATTTTAGTTAAGGTCAGGGTTAAGGTTAAGGTTAAGGTTAGGGTTAGGGTTAGGGTTGGGTAAACTCGCGAAACGTGCTAAAGCACAGAAAACACATAAAACCTGCTCTTACCACATTCTAAAATACTGGACTGTCCTGTGACGTCATTTGTGGTCAGCTTAAAAAAAAAGCACAAAAGAAGGTATCCCAATACTGATTGTAGGCTCTTTTTTCTTTGTCTATTTATTATTCTATCTTGTTCACATTAGATGGAAAAGTGTTCCTAAGGACATACTCTATGGTGAATTACAGAGGCATAGAAGACGTCAGGGTTGTTTCTACTATAATTTATAGATGTGTGTAAGTGGGACATAATGATAAAGATACTGGTGTGGGTTTGCGAGAATAGGCTGCCATAGATAACATTTCAAGGAAGAGGGCATGCTGAATGTTGAATGTTGAATTAAGAATCGACATCACAGCACTCGGGGCACCCCCATAAGTGCTCCATCCCCATCTTCAGCAGCAAGCAAAAAGTCCCAATTCCAAAGGTACCAGTAGCCGTCTGATTTTATATCCATCTCATCCTTCCCCTGAGTGTTGAGTGTCGGCCATATCCTCTGGTAACTCCTCCCAGTGCCATTCTCCTCAGACTGTAATGATCTGTCTGTGCATTCGAACTGTTCACTCGTTTCCCAAGGACCCTCACAAGAAAGAGGGCACAAAAAAAGGATTGCAGACAAGCAAAAAGCTGAGAGTTGGAGGAGTTAGTTGTGTATCCTTTACAGGACATTGCAAAAGCAATTTTTTGGCTGTTGTGGTTTCTCTAGGCAAATTTTACATCCAACAGTTTGGAAAAGAAACAAGTCAAATATAAGTGATTGCAGCTAGGGTCCTAACATCTCATGCACTTATTGTGGGAGATTCTTCTTAATATTAGCTGGTCTTGACAGTCATACTTGCCATCACCATAGGCTGCGATTCCCCATGGCAAAATGTAACACTATCGTCAGTAAACACAGAAACATGCCAACAACTCAGATTCTAGTAAAGACAGCGGTTTGATTTCATGGCACTGCCTGTACAGATTTGGGTGTAAGAAAGTTAGATGATGCTGTATCTGTTACTGTTAACATTCATTACTGTAAGCTGGACAGGTAGTATACGGTCCTTAGTATTTTGGAACCAAGATCACAATGACATATACAGATTTCAGCAACCAATTTTAAACTTATAATTTAGATGAATAAATCTGTTGATTACATGTAAAAATTATGGCCTCATATAGCAGTGAAAGTGTCGGAAGCTGAAATATTTTGGTCATATCAAGCGCCACGACGGATTGGGAAAAAATTATAGCAGAAGGCATGGTACCAGGAAGGAGGGGCAGGGGTCGACCGACATGAAGATGGGCACAGGATATAAGTGACTCCTTGAGTGTGAAAGTGCATGAGGCAGTAGAACTGGCGAGAGACCAAGTTTCTTTCAGGCAGACTGTGATGAGAGCGAAGTTCTGCAAAGGACCTGCTATATGATGATGATGATAGCAGTGATAGCATCATTTGTAACTTAGTCAGGTCAAGGTGATTTTTTTTGTCACCTGAAAGACAGGTTTATAGAAACGTGTGCTGTTTCTTTTTCTACTTCTTCTTCCTCAGTATTTGCCCTCAAAAAGGCAGCTAGCATGTGTTGTGGTTTACAGCTATACTGTGATATCTGTGCCTACTGACCCAACACATTCGATTTAAGAAAATTCTTTATTAACTGTTATTTATAATGTCATGTGCATTCCCAAACTGCTTATGTCATCTGCCTATTATCTGAGCATGTGGAATGCCATCTTCTGTTTTCACCCATAAAAGAGTGGTTGTTATGCTGTGTTGTAGTTTTAAGCTAGACTGCAATATCTGAGCCTTTTGGCCCTAGACACCTGATTTCAGTAATTCTTAATTAACCTTTTATGACATGCTTGTTGGGGGTTAAGGGGTATACTGATTCCCCCCCCCCTCCCCTTTTTTTTCCCCTAATGGGACCCTAGAACCCACATTAGGATGTCTGAAAACTTCTAAAACAAGTTGCTTATATGAAAGAAAAATGACACACATAATGTAAGAGACAGACAGACAGACAAACAGACAGAGACACACACAGAGAGAGAGAGAGGGAGAGAGAGAGAGAGAGAGAGAGAGAGAGAGAGAATGAAATGCAACCAACAGACCTGTAAGCAATCTGTTGCATGGTTGGGAGATCCAGTTTTTTAGCCATTTTCAGCAGAGTCTCTCTCCACCATATCTCTAGCAACCCATAGCAACCATCAATGTCTGGTTTGAAATCTTCTTCACACAAAAAGTTCTTGTCCAGGTCCAGGCTGTATTCATGCTTAACTTTCTGCAATAAGACATATTTAAGGAACTGTGGTGTTAGGTCTTTGAAAACTCAAATGGCCAGTACACACTTGGAGGATAGAGGATGAAAGTCCCTAAAGACTTTCTCTACAGTGAATTACATATAGGTAGAAGATGTCAAGGTCAATCTCTACTTCTTCTTCTTCTTTACTTCCTCTTTCACCACTATGGGTGTCAAGGGAGATATAAGGTCCTGCTTCCTGCTCTCCTGGCTGCTTTCACCACAGACACATGTTGTGCTGTAGAGCTTCTATGATGTTATCTCACCATATGTTCTTGGTCTGCCTCTCCTCTTTTGGTATATGCCTTGTATGGTATAGCATCTATAGGCATTTTCTCCAAGTGGGCAAACCATTTGATTTGCTGTCTTTTTATGTGATTTAGAATTGGTTTTGCACCGACTTTATCCATATGACTGGTCTCTACTACAATATAAAAATGTGTACAGGCAGGATCTGAATGATGTATGTACTGAAGGTGGATTCTAAGGCAACAGGATTTCATGAGCCATGTTGGATAGAGGGAGGAATTCAGAACACAGATAAAGGAGAAAATTATTTGTCTATGAAAGAAAAACATGTTAAATGCATGCAATGGCAATAATGCTATGAAACACCACACTCTAATTGTGGTCAACTTTTCTTAACATGAGCTGGTCTTGCCAGCCGCCATCACCATCAGCTCTGATTCCCAAACCTCAATCCGACACAATATAAAACTATCACCTGGAAAGTCTGAAAGCTGCCGACAGGTGTAAAGACAAACCAAAAACTACTGCAGACTTAAGGGATCAATGGGCAGGAGTTCTGCGACAAAATAATAACAAATCCAATGACAGTATGGATATATTCAAGAATTTTGAGCAGCGGCTGGTTGCGCATTTGCAATTTCAGACTCTCATTCATGAGATCCAAGTATGAATCATTGGTAAAATAACAACATTGTTATTCATGACAGGGCTAAAATAGAAACCCTAACTTAAACAGTTCATGATGACTGCACTAGCAATGCAGCCTTAAATCATGATGCTCAAGACACTCCCCATCTACCTTAAACACATTCAAGCAGCAAAGACAGTTTTTAAAAAAAATCAGGATTGTCAAAACTGTGAAATGCAGAGCTAAACACAATGAGCTTAACTTTTATAAATATGCAAAGGTATTTTAAATTTAAAAAACATGTAATGATAGGGCCATTGAAATGTTACACAGCTGTTCTTGGAATATCATGTAGAAGAAGAGGTTAGTTAAATATTGATACTCTGGATGATCACTGGGAAAGGGGGTGGGGAAGGAAGGAAGGCAGGCAGGAAGGAGGGAAGGAAGGAAGGAAGGAAGGAAGGAAGGAAGGAAGGAAGGAAGGAAGGGAGGGAGGGAGGGAGGGAGGGAGGGAGGGAGGGAGGGAGGGAGGGAGGGAGGGAGGGAGGGAGGGAGGGAGGGAGGGAGGGAGGGAGGGAGGGAGGGAGGGAGGAAGGAAGGAAGGAAGGAAGGAAGGAAGGAAGGAAGGAAGGAAGGAAGGAAGGAAGGAAGGAAGGAAGGAGGAAGGAAGGAAGGAAGGAAGGAAGGAAGGAAGGAAGGAAGGAAGGAAGGAAGGAAGGAAGGAAGGAAGGAAGGAAGGAAGGAAGGAAGGAAGGAAGGAAGGAAGGAAGGAAGGAAGGAAGGAAGGAAGGAAGGAAGGAAGGAAGGAAGGAAGGAAGGAAGGAAGGACATATGGGTATTCTGAATGTTGGCTCTCGTTTGTCTAGAGGCCAAGTCAGTTCAAATATACATTCAGTCCATCACAGGAATGAGGTGACTCGAGCTCTGACTCCACAGGGTTAATACAAACTCTTGGGTACAAATCGGCCAGACATCCTCATTACTAATTTTGCCCCAGACTGGTAAAAAACATTAACACAGTCGAATATATAAAGAACAGTAGGTCTGACAAGACATGGATACACTTCTGACTGTGACAAATGATCCCTCCAAAACAACTTTCTTCCAAGAATTAGAAATCTTGTGAACAAGAAACATAATGTAATAAATTAAATGTGGTAAAAGAAGACAAAATGCAGAACAAAGAGAAACAGAATGATAGATCATAATGTTCTCAAAGAGTTAAGACTAGATAACTGGTCTCCCTCGATCGCTACTTCCATTTCCGGGCTCATTATCGACTGGAGAGTGAAGAGAGATATTTGGGTGCATTCAGGTTCTGGCTGCCATAGTATTCCTTAAGATTCCAGTTATCTGCACTAGATCCTGCAGCTCCTCTGATGTACCGAATAGTAGATCTCTGCAACCTCCCAACTCCCAGAATGACTCTGTACGATAATGCTTCTCTCCACGACCAGTGGAAAGATTAGCAAGACCTCTCAAAGAATTGTTGGCATTGACTTCACGAATGGGCTGCCATAGGAGACCATGACACGACAATACTGGTTGGTTTCTCCCAAGTTGACAGCTAGCTGGATAACCGGTTTACTGCACAGACATACGCTGGATCTTCAAACATCCCATGCAGACGAATATTATCTAAGAAATATTCTTCATTGACAATCAAGTGGCCGCAGTGCCAAAAACACAACTGTTCACTTGAACGGACTGATCAGTAGTGACGTACAGGAGTCTAGTCCCTAACTACCACCGTTGGGGAATAATATTGCTCAAACTCAAACTATTAATCTTGAACAGAAAATGTGTCGTATCATACACACTGACACTATACACCAAGAAGGATCAATTTAGGAGTGATTTATAAACATTTCTCACATCTGGACTCCCCAATAACAAAAGAATTATATATCTATGGATGGACTATCCGAGATATAGACACACCAATTAGTATAGGGGTGTCCAGACTGTGGGCAGGTCTATTGTGGTAGGGGAGTTGATGCTGTTATGTGACGGAAGGAAGGAAGGAAGGAAGGAAGGAAGGAAGGAAGGAAGGAAGGAAGGAAGGAAGGAAGGAAGGGAGGGAGGGAGGCAGGCAAGCAGGCAGGCAGGCAGGCAGGCAGGCAGGCAGGCAGGCAGGCAGGAAGGAAGGAAGGAAGGAAGGAAGGAAGGAAGGAAGGAAGGAAGGAAGGAAGAAGGAAGGAAGGAAGGAAGGAAGGAAGGAAGGAAGGAAGGAAGGAAGGAAGGAAGGAAGGAAGGAAGGAAGGAAGGAAGGAAGGAAGGAAGGAAGGAAGGAAGGAAGGAAGGAAGGAAGGAAGGAAGGAAGGAAGGAAGGAAGGAAGGAAGGAAGGAAGGAAGGAAGGAAGGAAGGAAGGAAGGAAGGAAGGAGGAAGGAAGGAAGGAAGGAAGGAAGGAAGGAAGGAAGGAAGGAAGGAAGGAAGGAAGGAAGGAAGGAAGGAAGGAAGGAAGGAAGGAAGGAAGGAAGGAAGGAAGGAAGGAAGGAAGGAAGGAAGGAAGGAAGGACTTAAAGCAAACGAACTCACATGCTTCAAATCTGAACTCATTTCATTCTGAAGAACACTTCTGGGCAGATTGGGCAAGGCAACAACAGCAGTCATCTGGTCATTCTTCAAACCCAAGTCATTCATGATGTACAACATCACATTACGATCCCGAGCCAGCTGCTCACCAGCTTTTTCAATGGCGGTCCGGATGGAGCTGCTTTGGTCAAAGTGTGAAGGCCGCTCCTGAAAGTTGTAGCCAACCTGACATGAAAGGGGATTTTCTGAGATTTAAAAGTTGCCTCCAAGATGAGAGTCAATGTCAAACCAGTACAGAGGCCTTCTTCTTCTACTGCTTCTTCTTTACATTTATCGGCTGTAAAAGGTAGATTTTAGTCTTGTTCCAAAATATTACTTTTAATGTGCACGTCAGTTTTACAGATCTAGCTTACTAGTTTGCAGACTGCTGGTTCCTCCCAGGCAGATGTACTCCCACTTTGAAGGAAAAATCCCTCATTAGTCACTACAATGTCCTGATTGTGAGGGGTTCAGTAGGTCTATTCTTTTTCCATTGAAAATGAGGCCCCTGAACCTGCAAGGGGCCTACTGAGGCCTGAACACAAAGGAATAATTTCACAAACTGGTGTAAAGTAGCTATGCAATGTATACCCTCCCAATTCTGAGTTTCCGGAAATGAAAGAACTGATAAACTATCTAAGGAAGGTTAAACAATGTGACATACCAGTCTCTTATCAACAGAAGAAGTGAATAATCAAATCAATCAGAAAGCCACCAAAACTGGCACAAGACGATTGTCATATTATGGATAGACCAGAGCAAGACATTATTCTACGCATCAGAACAGGGCACATTTGACTTTGCAGCCACAGGTACAAAAAATTTAAGACTGGGGAATCGGCCATTAGTACATGTGGACTGGCACCCGAGACAACAGATCACATTCTCCAACACTATCCCAAATACAACATTGCCAGACAAAAATTCTGGCCAAGAGAGACAACCAAACTTTACAGGCCACTAAGTGAGTTACAAAAAACAGTAAAGTTCATACTAGAGACAGCATTTGCAGATACAGATAATTTATTTCAAACATCAGAAAGAGATGAACAACATTACCTAGTCCCCATTATGGGAAGTAAGTAAAGTCAAAGAACCTTCTTACAACAGTGGTGCATTTGGCATATTCTGCTTGACTCATATTTTAATAGACCAATCTGCCCTAGATGAGCAGTATTGTCTGTTCCCCTTTCTACCAAACATACTTATCCTCGGCTATGACTTCCCCAATCTATGTCTTACTGCCTTAATTTCTTCTGTCCTCACTCTTTCTGACTTTCTCTGTTTATCTCTTGACAAACACCTCACCCTTTTCCAGTAGCTCCATTCCCCCCCCCCCCCCCTCTTTTTTCAACTCTATATCTTTCTGTTCTGATTTATCTTTTTCTCACTTTGTGACTTTCTTCCCCCCCCCCTCTCTCTCTCTCTCTCTCTCTCTCTCTCTCTCTCTTCCCCTCTCTCTCTCTCTCTATCTATCTCTATATCTCTCTGCAAACACTCTCAACCTGTTTTTATTGTGTCTTCCCCACTTTATATATCTTACTGCTCTAATCTGTCTCTTTCTCTTTCTTTCTGACTCTCTCTCTCTCTCTTCCCCTCTCTCTCTCTATCAATCTCTCTATCTTTCTGCAAACACTCTCAACCTGTTTTTATTGTGTCTTCCCCACTTTAAATATCTTACTGCTCTAATCTGTCTCTTTCTCTTTCTTTCTGACTCTCTCTCTCTCTCTCTCTCTCTCTCTCTCTCTCTCTCTCTCTCTCTCTCTCTCTCTCTCTCTCTCTCTCTTTCTCTTTCTCTCTACAAACACCCACCATTTTCTAACTGTGTTCCCCCCTCCCCCACTCAATATATCTTACTGCTTTAGTCTGAACCAAGATTACTCCAGCCTCCTGGTGCAGGATCAGTATGTCCAGTTCCCCTCTATTAGCAACATCCTTGGGAAGCTTGACCACTAGCCCACTAGCCTGAGTGCTCTCACTGCCACTGACAGCTTCAAACACTGAACCTGTACGTTAGATTTCCAATATTATGAAACAGTCACTACAATCACACAATCAATATTGTCAGTCAATCAACATAGTACAACAGTAAACATAATTAGGTAATTAACATAACCATGAAATCAGCATAATCACACAGTCAACACAATCATACAGTCATCATAATCAAACAGACAACATAATCAAACAGTCACCATACTCATACAATCAGCATAAATACACAATCAAAATAATCAGTCAACACACTCAGCATAACCAAAGCCTGCATAAGCAACCAATCAATATACATTAGTCAACAGAATCATACAGTCACCATGATCACACATTCAGCACTGTTGAGCCATAACTTTCTGACCACACTCAGCTTCTGCATCATGTTACTGTTGATACTTCTGCATGCCACAATGAGAGACAGTCCAGTATCATTTTGTCTTAGTCTGCCTTTTCTTCCACTGAGCTTTCCTTCACTAAAATCTTCACTGCCTTTTTCCCCCTCATATAGTTATAGAAAACTCTGCTAGATGGCCTGTTCAGGGCTAATATCTTCCTCTTCTTTGCATTCCCCGGCTGTAAACTCTTGTGGAAAGTTCTGTTAATTCTTCCACTTCTGGACTTTATCTTGATCCATAACCTGACTTTTGTGTGCACATCCATTTTACAGACATAGCCTTTATTTGTGTGTGTATAGAGACTGTTGCTTTCTCATCTCTCAAGCAGATACACTCTCAGTTCCAAAGAAAAACCCCTAATTAGTCGCCATTAATGACATGCTTACTGAAAGGGGGGGGGCACTGGGTCTATTCTTCCCTCCCCACCCCACAATGGGGCCCCTGAACCTACATGGGGAAGGGCTAAAATGAGGTGACCACCAATGAGTTCTACTTAACTCACCACATTTGAACAAAGAAGAAATGAACAACAGATTGCAAAATTTACTGGGTGGCTCATTTCACTGGGTTATATTTCACTGGGAACCAAAATCTGTTGCTGTACAATACAAGAGGACTTCAAATGAAAACCTTAAATGTGTGATGGAAATTACCATAAGCCTGCCATTGTCTTATAACCTGTCAATATTGTTGTTAAGGATGTTGACATGCATCAAAGAAAAGCATTGTTATGTTATTTGTTGCTTTTTTTTTTTTTTTTTACATTGAAACTCATCAGCAAGTGCATGGGTGAAGTAGAAAGATCTGCCCTGAGTTAGAAAGTGTTGCTTGAAATAACAACTGACTCATTCTGAAATACTTAAGAGCTGAAACTCTGTCTTTCACAATGAAATCAACCAACCAATGTCTTCAACATGCAAGGCAGCAACTAACCTGAAGTATGGCTCCCAGATGTGTCCACGGTCTGAGACCTAGTGACGCAGTTGGAGAGTTTGTTCAGATAGTTGTCATACTCAAAGTTGGAAATGAGAAACATGGCCGAACCAAGCCTAAACAAATAATCAGAAAATATTGTTTATTATAATTCTGTTCATGATAAAGCATTATGGACAGACAACAAGCATAAATAGGATGTCTTGGAAGAAATTTTATACACCCTGGTGCATAAATCAAGTATTCAATCTTTTTAAAAAAATATTTCCAAAGCAGGGAATAGATCATATGCTGGTTAAAAAATGCATGGTTGGTGACATCACAGGTTTTTACATGTTCCCTGAGTTATATTGATATGATAAACAATATCTACCTGTGAATTTTGTAGGTTGTCTTTGATGTACAATGGATGCAGAAAGATATTATAGTTAGTTTAGTAACTCAATATACAGGTAAATGTTGCCTAACTTCAATTATCGGCTGGCAAAAGTTTTGGGCCATTTCTAGCTAATCATATGTTTGGGGGTCAACTTATTTAGTAGATATAGGCCTAACTTACAATTCTGAGTTAAATATTTTGAGGTCAGCTTGTATAGTAAAGTGACGTTTTATCACAATTAACAGTAACACACAGAGAGAGCTGATTGCCTACACAAGCCAGAGACAATCTCACAATTAACAGTAACACACAGAGAGAGCTGATTGCCTACACAAGCCAGAGACAATTAACAGTAACACACACAGAGAACTGATTGCCTACACAAGCCAGAGACACCTACACAAGCCAGAGACAATTAACAGTAACACACAGAGAGAGCTGATTGCCTACACAAGCCAGAGACAATTAACAGTAACACACACAGAGAACTGATTGCCTACACAAGTCAGAGACACCTACACAAGCCAGAGACAATTAACAGTAACACACACAGAGAACTGATTGCCTACACAAGCCAGAGACAATCTCACAATTAACAGTAGCACACACAGAAAACTGATTGCCTACATAAAACAGAGACAATCTCACAATTAACAGTAACACACAGAGAGAGAGCTGATTGCCTACACAAGCCAGACACAATCTCACAGTTAAAAGTAACACACACACACAGAGAACTGATTACCTACATAAAACAGAGACAATCTCACAATTAACAATAACACACACAGAGACAACTGATTGCCTACACAAAACAGAGACAATCTCACAATTAACAATAACACACAGAGACAACTGATCGCCTACACAAAACAGAGACAATCTCACAATTAACAATAACACACAGAGACAACTGATTGCCTACACAAAACAGAGACAATCTCACAATTAACAATAACACACAGAGACAACTGATTGCCTACACAAAACAGAGACAATCTCACAATTAACAATAACACACAGAGACAACTGATTGCCTACACAAAACAGAGACAATCTCACAATTAACAATAACACACAGAGACAACTGATTGCCTACACAAAACAGAGACAATCTCACAATTAACAATAACACACAGAGACAACTGATTGCCTACACAAAACAGAGACAAACTACATTCTTTAGTCACACTGTGAGAAGGGGAAAACTGAGAAAGTCATGACAACAGAAAAAGTAGAGGCGAAGAAAGTCAGTGATAGACCTCTTGCTTCCTCTGAAGTTTAACTGTGTCTGCCTGACAGACAAGGAACCAACAGTCTACATACAAATAAGCCAGAGCTGCAAAACAGATTTACACAAAAAACTCAGGTTCTGGAGCAAGATCAAAGTCCAGAAGTGGATGTGCAATCAAAACTTTCTGTTGGAGCCAGTGAACACTAAGAAGAAAGAAAAAAACCACAATGGATACAAGAGTAGCAGAGCAGAAGAAGAGGTGTGGGCCCCCAGTACATAATTTATGTGTCTTAAAACCATAACAGAGTGTACAATGCTTGCAATGCTGTAAAACAAACAACCTGCTGTATATCCCCAAGTATAAGAGAATAATCCCATGTCTATGATGCACCTTGATTTTGAGATCAGTAATTTTGGAACAAAAATAATATGATTATCCCTTTGTATGGTTTTCCTTCTAGCTTGGCTAAGACTGTTCATTAACGACCCAACAAGTCTCCATCGTAAAACATTCTTTGTTTTAGAATCAGATTTCTAGCTCATAAAGATTTCAGAGACCAAACAAGACAATATATGAAATTTTATAAGAAAACACCACTGGAACTATATCTGCCATGCAATCAGAATGGATAAGACAAGACTTCCCCATCAAGCCCTCATATGGACACCGGACAGGAAAAGAAAATTGGGAAGACCAAGACAGACTCTATGTAGAACCATCATCAGGGAAGGCTCAACCATGGGCCTAACAAACATCCAAGACCTAAAGCAGGTGACAACGAACTGCCAGACATGGAGAGCTATGACCTCTGCCCTATGAGCTGCATTAGGCTCTAGAGAAAAGATTAACCAACTAATTGTATAAGAAGCACACTGTTTTTAGACCCTATATTTGTGTGTCTTATACTTCGGAAAATACAGTACCCTTTCTTAACAAGATACTAACTGAAATTTTCTGCATGCATGCACACGCACACACAACCACACAAAACTTACAGTTTGCATTAATAATGTGGTATGTGAAATTCTCCACAACTTACAAGCTGCCATTCTAAAAGAGTGTAACTGATATGTATCTAAAATTGTTTTTGTACATCTTGTGACTTACCTCATCTGAACATACAAATTACACAGTTGTTCTCATAAAACCCAAACATAAAAATTATTGTTTGAAACAACAGTATGACTTACATTCAACAAGCTTACACCTTACCCTTTATGAACAAGACAATTGCTCAAGCTCTCAAATGCTCCACAAACAACATTCTCTGCTCTGTTGGTTTCCTGATCAGTCAAGTTTGGTTGGCCTAAAAAAAATCAAAGACACCGAAAACACTCTTATAACAACCAAGAATATATCACTTACATACATGGCTTTAATTCTAGAAAACAAAATAATGCTGGTAGTCATCACTACGGGTTAACTGCAGTACTGATAAAAACTATGATGCCCATAATGGTACTGGTGCTCAAAACAAAGGGTCTTTTGCAGTACCGATTAAAAAAAAAAGCCTTATAATGGTGCCGGTACTGCAAACCGCTAGGATGAGATCCTTGCTTACCTTTATCAGTATCATTTTCTAGATTGGCAAGCATGGCTTCAGAGGTTAAGGGTAATTAGCATCCTTCAGAAATTTTTTCCAGGGATACAGGTGTGTTGATAAATAAATAGGCAGACAGACTGGCTAGTTCTGTACAACTTAGTGGCAATCTGACGCAGGACAAGCTACTTAAGACCCTTTGAGAGCAAGTAAACAGTGCTGAGGCAACAGGGATGGTTAGGGGATCTGGCCGACACCCAACACTCATGAAAATAGCAAGATGGGCAGATAATCAGACTGCTACCAGTACTATTGGCATAGGAACTCTTCGCTGCCTGCTAAAAATTGGGGTGTGGTGCTTTAGCTTAGCTGAGCTTAACTCAAATGAACAATTATTATCATGTACCCTGCTGACAAAAACAGACAGACAGGTTCCACCATCTCATATAATCACCAGAAACACAGATCAAATAAGTCCTTTTTATTCGCCCCATCCATTCAGGTATTTATCTTTTTGCCTTCCATTTGTTCTTTTTTCTGTTATCCCTGCCAGTCGTCACCAGGTTCTCAAGTCTATATCTTCACATAGCATGTCTCAAATATATCTTGAACAAATACATAACAAACTGCAGGCAATGTTTCTTCTGATGTAACCCTATGTGTCTGTTTCAGACAGGTCATGTACTGCAACATAAGCTACTCAAGAATGTGATGATGATGATGATGATGATGATTGTGATGATGGTGATGACGACGACGATGATGATGGTGGTGATGACAAAGACAATAGTATAACATAAACTACACAAGACGATGATGATGATGATGACGATGGTGGTAATGATTATGGTGGTGGTGGTGATGACGATGATGATGATGATGATGGCTATGGGGAGCAACACTTACAAGATCACAATGATGATGAGGCAACATAAAAACTATACAAGTCTGTATAAAAATGATAATGATGATGATGATGATGATGATGACTATGACGATGATGATGATGACAGAGACAATAGTATAACATAAACTACACAAGACGATGATGGTGATGATGACGATGGTGGTGATGATTATGATGATGATGATGATGATAGCTATGGGGGGCAATACTTACAAGATCACAATGATGATGAGGCAACATAAAAACTATATGATAAGAAGATGATACGACAGTTGCGATGATGATAATGATGGTGGAGACAACAAAAACTACACAAGACGATGATGGCGACAATAACTCACCTAACACTGTGCCTTCTATGCGCATCGGTTGCTGCCCATTCTCCACCTTGCTCAACTTCTGCTCAACCAACTTCTGCATGTTGAACTTTATGGGCGGGACCCTCCAGGTCCTCTTCCCGATATCCGTGTACATATTCTCTCCTTTCTCTCGAATCCATTCCATCAAATTCCTTCCCTTGCCGTCTTGGTAGACATTCAAATCCTTTGCCATGGTGTTGGTTCAGTTGATGTTGGTTTTTATAAGTTTTCACATATATACTCCAAGTTTATGGACTGGTTCATATGTGTTATGTATTAGACCGGTCCAGTCTGTTTGAGCACAACTGTATCATGGTACCTGTGGGTATACCTGAGAGAGAATAAAAACAAGTTGATTTGCATGTATATTAGATAGATGGTTGGTTGATTGCAACTATACTTCATTGATTTGAATCCACACTCATTTTGCCTACTGTGTAACCGTTTGGTGTCCTAATATAATTGTGTTATATGGCTGAATGGGGTTTCTGGGATTTTCCCCTGTAAGATTCATATCCGAATAGTATCTCCTTAAGTCACTCGATTAAAATCATTATGGAGGGTAGGGAAGGGGGGGGAAGGTCAACAAAATAGTCAGTGAGTAAAACACAATGATAGTTTCGTATATATGTGAAACCTGTAAAATATATGACATTTGTAACTGCAAAAAACATGATTAGCTTGCAAAAAACAACAAGTGAACAGTGATGATGCCAGAGGAAAGCACTATACAAACAGTGATGATGCTAGAGAAAAGCACTATACAATGATGATGCCAGAGGAAAGCACTATACAAACAGTGATGATGCTAAAGAAAAGCACTATACAGTGATGATGCCAGAGGAAAGCACTATACAAACAGTGATGATGCCAGACAAAAACACTATACAGTGATGATGCCAGAGAAAAGCACTATACAGTGATGATGCTAGAGAAAAGCACTATACAGTGATGATGATAGAGAAAAGCACTATACAAACAGTGATGATGCCAGAGGAAAGCACTATACAAACAGTGATGATGCTAGAGAAAAGCACTATACAGTGATGATGCCAGAGAAAAGCACTATACAGTGATGATGCCAGAGGAAAGCACTATACAAACAGTGATGATGCTAGAGAAAAGCACTATACAGTGATGATGCTAGAGAAAAGCACTATACAAACAGTGATGATGCCAGAGAAAAGCACTATACAAACAGTGATGATGCCAGAGAAAAGCACTATACAAACAGTGATGATGCCAGAGAAAAGCACTATACAAACAGTGATGATGCCAGAGAAAAGCACTATACAAACAGTGATGATATCAGAGAAAAGCACTATAGGAACAGTGATGATGCTAGAGAAAAGCACTATACAAACAGTGATGATGCTAGAGAAAAGCACTATACAAACAGTGATGATGCCAGAGAAAAGCACTATACAAACAGTGATGATGCCATAGAGAAGCACTATACAAAATAGTCACGGAATAAAACTGAAGGATGGTTTTGCACAAATATGAACACTGTGCAAGATAAGAGATATCTATAACTTTGCAAAAATGACTAGCTTGCAAGTGAACAGGGATAAGGCTAGAGAAGAGCTCTATGCAGAAAGCCAAAGTATAATAAAAACATTGTGTGAGACATTATATTTGTAACTCTGCATACATGACCAACTGGCAAAAAACAACAAGTGAAAAGGCCAGAGAAGAGCAACATGCAGGAAGCAGCATTTATTAAACCATTAAAGAACTGGTGTCATCAGCCACTATATGATAAGTTTTAAAGGATGGGATCCAAGCCCGTATGGACTGAACAGTGAGGATGATCTGTCAACAAACTAATTACCATTTCACTGGTGTCAAGTTGATATTAAAGTAACTCTTTTTTGGTATCATGCAATTCATCATATGTTCACTGCTTAGTCCAAAGATTTCTCTTTTTTACTACAGATAACTGTCACATTAACTCAGCAGACATATATTTTTAGTCTTACTCCTGCTGCCCCATAGTATTTTTATTTTAACCTTTGGACTCATGCCTAGGTGCTGTTAAACCATAAAAACACCGATAAAAGATTTAATGCAATCACGGGATGGCATGGAAAAAGTTAACTTATCACAAACTATCACTAATAAGTTCAACAGAGGGAAAGGAAAACACCCGTACAAATATGGCTAAACGTTTCGACCAGAGTCTTCATCAGTGGACATTCAGATCGACTGCTCACCCCTGTTTTCGACATCACTTTTGATACAAAAATTGGCTAAAAATACAGAAGCAGCTAGGAGCTCGAATTAAGGGACAAGACACATAAATTAGGTGAACATTTTGACCAGTTTTTGTTATCAAACATAACAGCATAAATACTTGACTAAAAATTGGCTGGTTAGTTATGAGAACAGAAAAAAGTACAGAGACAGGTGGATGTCTAGTTATTTATACGTGGAAGTACACACTTGTTTTTGCAGCGAGGCACTGTCATTTTACAGAGGTGACAGCTTTGATTCCCGCCATGGTAACTATAAATTTCTATTTTTTGTTTTTTATTGTTCTGGTGTGGCCTTCCATCTCTATTTCTTTCTATGAGCATCAATTTATACATTATACTCCTAAAATAACATCTATATAGACCGAATATCTAAAGAAGCAAGTTATGATACAGACAACATAGACCTTTATAATCACGAGGAAGTACATACATCAGGAGAAGTAATTGATTCACCAACATTAAACAAACTACTGTTTGCTGACGACCAGTGCTTGTTCTACCCTGAAGAACATAGACTGCAAGACCACATTATCAGGTTAAACTCAGCATGTAGTAAATACAACATGAAGATCAATGTAAACATAACCGAAACAATGCACGTTAGTAGACATTCTGCCCCACTACACATACAGCTGAATGGTTCTGCCCTGAATCAAGTTAGGGAGTTTAAATATCTAGGAAGTATGATCACAGAAGATGGTAGAATTGACAGAGAAATAGAAACCAGATGTCAGAAAGCAAGTGCACTTATATACCAATTGTCACCATTATTAAGACATCCAAGCATAACTATGAGTGCAAAGAGACAGATTATTAATAGCATATTTATTCCAACATTAAGCTACCAGTGCCAAACATGGACACTATCTAAAGCCCATACATGCAAAATTACCACCTACGAGATGAGGTGCCTGAGAAAAGCAGCCAACCTAACCATCTGAGATCGAGTGAATAATGAAACTATCAGGCAAATTGTGGGAACAACACCTTGTACTAGATTCATCGAGAAACAGCAGATCAAGTGGTTTGGCCATCTCGTTAGAATGCAGCAAGATCAAATACCATCACAAGCACTACATCTCAGAAGATCAACTACAAGAGTAAGAGGACGGCCGCGGAAAACATGGATCGACAACATTAAAGACACTACGCCTTCACGGCATGACAATAGCCAGTGGCAGCCAACGTGCACTGGATCGCAAATTATTCCTCCCCACAACTCTTAACAGCAGAAGTGGTTCATGATGATGATGATGATGATGACTCCTAAAATAGCACTAGATATACACATCTGGTAAAACTAAACTAAGACACGCCGTTACAAAAGTAAGATTACTTATTCGTCTACAGACTGGTTAATATGGTTGTCTGCGACAGAAGGCATAAGGAGCATAATCTTAAAGTTTTAAAGTACAGTATTAGTAAAAGTACTAGTTGTAGTATAGTTTAGTAGAAGTGCTGTATGGTTTAGCTTTAGGTTAAACAACAGATCAACATCATGGCACAAGGAGGGTAACCCATAAGTGCTCCGTTCTACTTCTAACTCAAGCCTAAGTCTGACGAATCTTAGCACAGTAAACGAACTCCGTAGCTCTGGCGAGAATCCTCAAATACTTTGGGTAAATTTTAAACTCCTGCGCAATTAGGCTACTCTTTTCGATTTCAAACTGCCAAGGGACTGTCAACTGCCAAGGGACACTACGATTCAAGACCACGCATCACCTTCTAGTAGTGTAGTATAGTAGTAGTAAGCAGCAGTAGTAGTAGCAGTTGTAGTAATTGTTGATGATGGTGTAGTAATTAGTAGTAGTAGTAGTAGTAGTAGTAGTAGTAGTAGTAGTAGTAGTAGTAGTAGTAGTAGTAGTAGTAGTAGTAGTAGTAGTAGTAGTAGTAGTAGTAGTAGTAGTAGTAGTAGTAGTAGTAGTAGTACTAGTAGTAACAGCAGCAGCAGCAGTAGTAGTACAGTATAGTAGTTGTAGTGTAGTATAGTAGTAGTAGTGTAGTTGTAGTAGTAGTCATTTAGTATAGTAGTGAAGTAGTAGTAGAAGTAGTAGTAGTAGTAGAAATAATAGTAGCAGTAGCAGTAGGATTAGTAGTAGTAGTTTAGTAGTAGTAGTAGTAGTAGTAGTAGTAGTAGTAGTAGTAGTAGTAGTAGTAGTAGTAGTAGTAGTAGTAGTAGTAGTAGTAGTAGTAGTAGTAGTAGTAGTAGTAGTAGTAGTAGTAGTAGTAGTAGTAGTAGTAGTAGTAGTAGTAGCAGTGTAGTATAGTAGTAGCAGTAGTAGTATAGTATAGTAGTATTTGTAGTGTAGTATAGTAGCAGTGTAGTATAGTAGTAGTGTAGTAGTAGTAGTAAAGTAGTAGTAGCAGTGTAGTTAAGTAGTAGTATTGTAGTCGTACAGTGATATTAGTATTGTAGTATAGTAGTGTAGTATAGTAATAATAGTGTAGGACAGTATAGTAGTATTAGTAGTGTAGTATAGTAGTTATGAAGTATAGTAGCAGTGTAGTTTAGTAGTAGTGTAGTAGTAGTAAAGTAGTATTAGTAGTGTTGTATAGTAGTAGCAGTGTAGTGTAGTATAGTAATATTAGTAGTGTGGCATAGTAGTAGTGTAGTAATAGTTCTAGTAGTGTAGTAGTAGAAGTAGTGTAGTAGTAGTAGCAGTAGTAGTATTAGTCATAGTCATAGTAGTAGTAGTAGTGTAGTATAGTAGTAGTTTAGAATAACATAGTAGTATTAGTAGTGTAGTACAGTAGTAGTGTAGTAAAGTAGTAGTAGTAGTAGCAGCAGCAGTAGTAGTAGTAGTAGTAGTAGTAGTAGTAGTAGTAGTAGTAGTAGTAGTAGTAGTAGTAGTAGTAGTAGTAGTAGTAGTAGTAGTAGTAGTAGTAGTAGTAGTAGTAGTAGTAGTAGAAGTAGTAGTGTAGCAGTAGTGTAGTA